TTCCCCTTTAAAGGAGCCCCATAGATTTCCTTTTCAGACAACTCCCATCAACATAAATCTTGTGCTATTTCCAGAATCCTCTCTTGACAATTCCCTCCACTCATTAGAGTGAGCAAAATGTGGCAAAACATTCTCTTCATACTACTAGTCCTCAAAGGTAATTATTTCCCCCATATAGTTCCATGCTCTTCACCTGTACGCAGGTGATCTCATTTAAATATAATAATAATCTTTTCTTCTTAGGAGTGCAGTCTCAGGGACAGTGGGTGGAATCTGGAGGGGATGTGAGAAGGCCTGGGGGGGCCCTCCGTCTCTCCTGCCAAGGTTCTGGATACAACTTTGGTGGCTACAGCATGGACTGGGTGAGACAGGCTCCAGGGAAAGGACTGGAATGGGTTGCACGCATCTATCATGATTCCAGTGGAAGGTTCTACTCCGAGAAAGTGAAGGGCCGTTTCACCATCTCCAGGGACAATGCCAAAAGCCAGCTGTATCTGCAAATGAACATCCTCAAAGCTGAAGACACGGCAGTCTATTACTGTGCGAGAGACACAGTGAGAGGAAGTGAATCTGAAGCCAGACAAGAACCTTCCTTTCTTCAGAGCAGCTCTTCAAGTTGACTGGATTAGTCAATGAGGATTGATCTTTGTCTAGAGAGAACTTCAGAATATTTTATTCTGGGTATCAGAGAGTTTGCTGTAAGAAAATATAGGATGATGAAAATGGCTTAAAAATTCCCATTTCATCTTCCCTGTTTACAATGTGATCTATCTTGAGGGAAAAAAATACAAGGAATGGAATATTGTCCTTTAATATCACAGCAGAAGTCTGGAAATTAGTGTCATGGTGAACCTCCTAAATATCCAAACTGCCATTCACATATGGAGGAAACACCTGCACCAAAAAAAAAAAAAAAAATCCTTGGAGAATTAGGAATATGCTTCCCCTCCTCATTTTTGACACTTGGGGGCAATGTTGCTACATGAAATCCCATTGTGTGTGCAGGGGTGAGGTAGGGTGTAAAAAAATCTGTAATTAGATATTTTGGAGGCCAGTTACGTTTTTATTTTATTTCTGTAATAATTCTCTGAAAATATCTCAAGAAAATTTCACATCTCAGGATGGTACAGTGTGCACTGCGAAGCTGAGAATTTTCATCAAATAATATATTGTTGGTTTTGTCACCAGAGAAACTGTTTAAACATTTCAAACCTTTGCTGAAAATGAAAACAAAATGAAATGGGTTATATTATCATATTCATTGAACATTTAAACAGTTAAAACATTAGGGAGGTGAATACATACACCAACCCAGAAAATTTTACTGTTTCTCTTAATGGATCTCAAAATAATTTAATTTCTCAAGGCACTAAAATCCTAGCTGGGAAGCCCTATCTGGCTTTATGACAGAAAACCTAGAGCAAACAAAATGTTTTGGATAATACGAAGAGAATTATTTATCATTTTGTTTCAAATAAGAGGGTGTATTTGGTCACAATGTGACTTAAATTTGATTTGGTGAGTTGAGTGGCCCAACTATTCTACTGACACAATGTTCCTTGAAGTTTAGCTGCCATTTATTTTCCATAAAACAAAGGAAGGGTAAGGAGGCTGTCTTGTAGTCTGATGTGCTAGCCTTTTTATATGTTCTCTAATAAATAAATTAGTTTCACCTCTATTACCTTGAATCATTTTGAGAAGGGCTGAAATTTTTCAGTCTTTTCTGTTAGTTAATGTGCAGCATTCCTATTAACTCACAAAAAAATGATCCCAACCCTTTTCTTAGGACTAGAATATTAATTACAAAATGCACATGGAAATGATATTTACAGAAGTGTGCTTGTCAATGCGCTGAGGGGCTCTTTTATCCCAACAGATATGTAAATCGAGGCACAATTTCCCCTTTAAAAGAGCCCCATGGTTTCCCTTTTAAGACAACACCCAGAATCATAAACCTTGTAATCAGAATCATAAACCTTGTAATATTTTCCGAATCTTCTACTATCGCTTCCTTCCATTCATTAGAGCAATCAAAAATGTTACTAAACCTTTTGTCCTTATTAGTAATCCTCAAAGGTAATGATTTCCACTATATGTTTTATTTCCAAATTCTGCTCTTTGATGCAGGAGATCTCATTAAAAAAATATTCCTTTTAGGAGTCCACTCTCAAGTCCAATTGGTAGAGTCTGGAGGAGATGTGCGAAGACCTGGAGGGTCCCTCAGTCTCTCCTGCCAAGCCTCAGGATTCACCTTCAGCAGCTACTGGATGAGCTGGGTGAGACAGGCTCCTGGGAAAGGCCTGGAATGGGTTGCAAGCATGGGTACATCTAGCACTTACTACTCAGACAAAGTGAAGGGTCGCTTCACCATCTCCAGGGATGATGCCAAAAGCCAGCTGTATCTGCAAATGAATAGCCTCAAAGCTGAAGACACAGCAGTCTATTACTGTATGAGAGATACAGTGAGAGGAAGTGAATCTGAAGCCAAACAAGAACCTTCCTTTCTTCAGAGCAGTTCTTCAACTTGATTGAGTCCCAGATCCCGGATTAGTCAATGAAGATTGATTGATTTCTAATGAAAACCTCAGGATGTTTTATTCTGAGTTTCAAAAAGTGTGTTGTAAGAAAACAAACAAACAAACAAAAAAAAAATCCAAGTACCCTGTCCCGATTTACAAGGTGATTTGGTTTCATTGGAATGGAATATAGTCTTTTAGTATCATAGTGGAAGGATGGAAATGGAACTTTAGGATAATCCTAAATATTCAAACGGCCAAACACACATTGGAGAAATATGCGCTCTGAATGAATCTCCTTTGAAAATGAGGTTGATGTGTCCTCTCCTCAGCTTTGATTCTGCAGGCAATGTTGTTTCAAACTCCAACTCTTTTTATAAGGCTGGGTTTTCAATTGAAAAACACAAATGGAAGTTCACTGAAATGTATTTGCAAACTGTCCCTTTCTCCTAACTCACAGTGGGGAAAAAAATGGGTCTGAACCATTTTCTTAGGATTGGAATGTTAATTACAAAATGCACATAGAAGTGATGCTCACACAAATGTATTAGTCAATGCCCTGAGGAGCTCTTTTATCCCAACAAATATGTAAATCAAGATACAATTTCCCCTTTAAAGGAGCCCCATAGTTTCCCTTTTCAGACAAATTACACCAAGATATGCAATTTCCTGCATTTTCCCCTGTCAATTCCCTCCATGCATTAGAGTGAGCAAAAATATGGCTGAACCTTGCTTCCTTGCTAGTAGTCCTCAAAGGTAGTTATTTCCACTACGTAAAATTTATTTCCATGTTCTGCTCTTGTATGCAGGAGATCTCATTAAAAAAATATTTTTAGGAGTCCAGTCTCAAGTCCGGTTTTTGGAGTCTGGAAGGGATGTGAGAAGGCCTGGAGTGTCCCTCCATCTCTCCTGCCAAGGATCTAGATTCACCTTCAGCAACCATGACAAGCACTGGGTGAGACAAGCTCCAGGAAAAGGACTGGAATGGGTTACAGGCACGAGTACATCTAGCATTTACTAATCAGACAAAGTGAAGGGATGCTTCGCCATCTCCACGGAAAATTCCAAAAGCCAGCTGTATCTGCAAATGAACAGCCTCAAACCAGAGGACACAACAGTCTACTACTGTATGAGAAACACAGTGAGAGGAAGTGAATCTGAAGCCAAAGAAGAATCTTCCTTTCTTCAGAGCAGTTCTTCAACTTGACAGAGCCACAGACCATGGATTAGTCAATGAGGATTGATCGATGTCTAGTGAGAACTTCAGGATGTTTTCTTCTTGGGTATCATACAGTTTTCTGTAAGAAAATGTAAGATGATGAAAGTGGTTTGAAAAGTCCAGTTTCATCTTTATAAGGTGATCTATCTTCAGAAAAAAATGGAATGGAATATTGACCTTTAGAATCACGGTAGAAGTCTGGAAATGCAACGTCAGAGTAACCTTACACACATCCAAACTGCAATTCATGAATTGACGAAACATCTGGACCCAAAGAATCTCCTTGGAGAATTAAGAACAGGCTTCCCCTCCAAATTTTTGACACTGGGGGGCAATGTTGCTACATGAAATCCCATTTTCTATGCCCCTGGTGGTGGCGGGGAAGGGAATAAAACAAATGTCATTATATAGTGTCTCATTTTGGAGGCCAGATACCTTTTTTTATTTTATTTCTGTAAATAAAAGTTCTCAAGAAAATTTTATAACACAGAAGTTTTCAATGTGAAACTGAGAAATGTTATTAAAAACAGAGTTTGGGTTTTCGATCCCAGAAAATTTATCTAGGTATTTCAAATCTTTTCTGAAAATGGAAAGCACATGAAAGAATTATATTATCACACTCAGTGAACATATAAAACACTTAAAACAGTATAGATACTAATATATACACCAAACAAGAAGATTTCAAAGTTTTCCTCAGTGGAACTCAAAAGAACTTGCATCACTTTGAGAAGTGTTGAAATTTTGCAAGACTTTGTTTTATTAAATATACAGTAAACTCATAAGAAAAACAATGAGTTCCTACTTTTTTCTTAGGGTTTGATTAATAATTGAAAAACACACATGGAAAGTATGTTCACCAAAATGTGTTAGTCAGTGTCATATAAAGCTCTTTTATCCCAACAGATATGTAAATCAAGACACAATTTCTCCTTCAAAGGAGCCCCACAGTTTCCCTTTTCAGACAACTCCCATCAGCATAAACCTTTTGCTAGTTGCCAAATCCTTTGAGTGAGCAAAAATGTGGCTAAACATTGTGTCCTTATTAGTAATCCTCAAAGGTAATTGTTTTCCCCTACGTAGAGTTTATTACCATGTTCTATTCCTCTATGCAGGAGATCTCATTAAAAAAAAAAACTTTCTTTTTAGGAGTCCAGTCTCAAGTTCAGTTGATGGAGTCTGGAGGAGATCTGCAGCCTGGAGCTTTAAGCCTCTGGATGCAGCTGGGCTGGGGGAGACAGTTTCCAGAGAAAGGACTGGAATGGGTTGCACACATGGGTTCATCTATCACTTACTACTCAGACAAAGTGAAGGGACGCTTCACCATCTCCAGGGATGATGCCAAAAGCCAGCTGTATCTGCAAATGAGCAGCCTCACAGTTGAAGACACAGCCGTCTATTACTGTGCAAGAGGCACAGTGAGAAGAAGTGAATCTGAAGCCAAACAAGAACCTTCTTTTCTTCAGAGCAGTTCTTCAACTTGACTGAGTCCCAGATCCTGGATTAGTCAATGAAGATTGATTGATTTCCAATGAGAACTTCACGATGTTTTATTCTGGGTTTCAAAAAGTGTGTTGTAAGAAAACAAAAGAAAACAAAACAAAAAATCCAAGTACCCTGTCCCTATTTACAAGATGATTTGGCTTCATTGGAAGGGAATGTAGTCTTTTAGTATCATGGTGAAAGGATGGAAATGGAACTTTAGGATAATCCTATATAAAAATCAAGACAGCATACTAAAAAGCAGAGACATCACTCTGCCAACAAAAGTGTGTATAGTCCGGGCCATGGTTTTCCCGGTTGCAATGTATGGCTGTGAAAGTTGGACCATAAGAAAGACTGAGCACCAAAGAATTGAGGCCTTTGAACTATGGTGCTGGAGAAGACTCCTGCGAGTCCCTTGGACTGCAAGGCATTCAAACTGGTCAGTCCTAGAAGATATCAACTCTGACTGCTCTTTAGAAGGCCAGATGCTGAAGTCGAAACTTAAATATTTTGGCCACCTAATGAGAAGGAAGGACTCACTGGAGAAGGGCCTAATGCTGGGAAAGATTGAGGGCAATAGAAGAATGGGACAACAGAGAATGAGATGGCTGGATCAAGTCACTGAAGCAGTAGGTGTGAAAAATGAATTCCAGAAGATGGTAGAGGACAGGAAGTCCTGGAGGAACGTTGTACATGGGACCACGATGGGTCAGACACGATTTAGCAATTAACAACAACAACAAAATATTCAAACTGCCAAACACACATTGGGGAAATATGCACTCTGAATGAAACTCCTTAGAAAATGAGGTTGATGTGTCCTTTCACCAGTTTTAATTCTGGAGGCCATATTGTCTCAAAATCCAAACTGTCTACACATCTGGAAGAGGTATTTTCGGGAATAAAATATGTATAATTGTATATTTTCTTAATTTGGAATTATCTAGTCCATCCCTCTGCTCAAGCAGCAGACCTTATACCAGTGATGGCGAACCTTTTAGAAATTGAGTGCCCAAACTGTAACCCAAAACCCACTTATGCATCTTTGGGTGCTGGGTGGGTGTTGCCCATTGGCTGGGTGTGGCCCATTGGCTGGGCGTGGCCCATTGGGTGGGTGTGGCCCATTGGGTGGGTGTGGCTGTGGTAGTAATGGCAGACTGGGTGGGACTAAAAGCTTCAATCAATCAATTCTAACTTTGCAAGATTTTTTTTTTCTCATGAGAAGTTGAAATTGACTGATTGATTGAACCTTTTTTTTATTTTTGCACACAGCGGCGGAGGCCTAAAGCAAAAAGGTTTTATAAAACCCAGCTGAAGGCCTAGGACAGGGATGACAGTGCACAGGCCCACAGAAAGGGCTCTAAGTGTTGCCTCTGTCACCTGTGCCATAGGTTCGCCACCACTGCGTTATACCATTCCAGACAAATGATTGTACAGTCTGTTCTTTGAAAAGGAGGAGGAGGGGGGAGGGGGAGGATGAGGAGGATAAAAGAGTTGGAAGGGACCTTGTAAATCTTGTACTCCAACCCCCCATTCAAGGAGGAGACCGTATTCCATTTCATACAAAGGTTGTCCAATCACTTCTTAAAAACCTCCAGCGCTGGAACATCCACAAACTCTGGAGGCAAGTTGTTCCATTGATTAATTGTTCTCGCTGTCAGGAAATTTCTCCTTACACTCACCAAAAAGCTGAGACTGTTAATAAAATAATGTATCATTGATGATTGGCACCAGAAAAAAATGTCTGAATATTTTAAATCTTTGCTGAAAATGAACCGTTTTCTTAGGATTGGAATGTGAATTACAAAATGCACATAGAAGTGATGCTCACACAAATGTATTAGTCAATGCCCTGAGGGGCTCTTTTATCCCAACAGATATGTAAATCAAGACACCATTTCCCCTTTAAAGGAGCCCCATAGTTTCCCTTTTCAGAAAACTCCCACCAACATAAACCTTGTGCTATTTCCAGAATCCTCTCTTGACAATTCCCTCCACTCATTAGAGTGAGCAAAATGTGGCAAAACATTCTCTTCATACTACTAGTCCTCAAAGGTAATTATTTCCCCCATATAGTTCCATGTTCTGCTCCTTTATGCAGGTGATCTCATTAAAAAAATGAAATAAAATAACTTTTTCTTCTTAGGAGTGCAGTCTCAAGGACAGTTGGTGGAATCTGGAGGGGATGTGAGAAGACCTGGAGAGTCCCTTCTTTCTCTCCTGCCAAGGTTCTGGATACAACTTCGGTGGCTACAGCATGAGCTGGGTGAGACAGGCTCCAGGGAAAGGACTGGAATGGGTTGCGTACATCTATCATGATTCCAGTGGAAAGTTCTATTCTGACAAAGTGAAGGGACAATGCCCAAAGCCAGCTGTATCTGCAGATGAACAGCCTCAAAGCTGAAGACACAGCAGTCTATTATTGTGCGAGAGACACAGTGAGTGGAAGTGAATCTGAAGCTTGGCAAAAAACAGCCATTCTTCAGAGCAGTTTTTTAACTTCACTGGATTGGTCAATGAGGATTGATTAATATCTAGGGAGAACTTCAGAATATTTTATTCTGGGTATCAGAGAGTTTGCTGTAAGAAAATATAGGATGATGAAAATGGCTTAAAAATTCCCATTTCATCTTCCCTGTTTATAAGGTGATCTATCCTGAGGGAAAAAAATACAAGGAATGGAATATTGTCCTTTAATATCACAGCAGAAGTCTGGAAATTAATCTCATGGTGAACCTCCTAAATATCCAAACTGCCATTCACATATGGAGGAAACACCTGCATTAAAACAAAATCCATGGAGAATTAGGAACATGCTTCCCCTCCTCATTTTTGACACTGGGGGGCAATGTTGCTACATGAAATCCCATTGTGTGTGCAGGGGGAGGTAGGGTGTAAAAAAACCTGTAATTTGATATTTTGGAGGCCAGTTATGTTTTTATTTTATTTCTGTAATAATTCTCTGAAAATATCTCAAGAAAATTTCACATCTCAGGATGGTACAGTGTGCACTGGGAAGCTGAGACTTTTCATCAAATAACATATTGTTGGTTTTGTCACCAGAGAAACTGTTTAAACATTTCAAACCTTTGCTGAAAATGAAAACAAAATGAAATGGGTTATATTATCATATTCATTGAATGTTTAAACAGTTAAAACATTATGGAGGTGAATGCATACACCAACCCAGAAAATTTTACAGTTTCTCTTAATGTATCTCAAAATAATTTAATTTCTCAAGGCACCAAAATCCTTGCTGGGAAGCCCTATCTGGCTTTATGACAGAAAACCTAGAGCAAACAAAATGTTTTGGATAATACGAAGATAATTGTTTATCATTTTGTTTCAAATAAGAGGGTGTATTTGGTCACAATGTGACGTAAATTTGATTTGGTGAGTTGAGTGGCCCAACTATTCTAATGACACAATGTTCCTTGAAATTTAGCTGCCATTTATTTTTCATAAAACAAAGGAAGGGTAAGGAGGCTGTCTTGTAGTCTGATGTGCTAGCCTTTTTATATGTTCTCTAATAAGTAAATTAGTTTCACCTCTATTAACCTGAATCATTTTGAGAAGGGCTGAAATTTTTCAGTCTTTTCTGTTAGTTAATGTGCAGCATTCCTATTAACTCACTTCCTTCCATTCATTAGAGTAATCAAAAATGTTACTAAACCTTGTGTCCTTACTAGTAGTCCTCAAAGGTAATGATTTCCACTATATGTTTTATTTCCAAATTCTGCTCTTAGATGCAGGAGATCTCATTAAAATATATTCCTTTTAGGAGTCCAGTCTCAAGTGCAGTTGGTGGAGTCTGGAGGAGATGTGCGAAGACCTGGAGGGTCCCTCCGTCTCTCCTGCCAAGCCTCTGGATTTGATTTCAGCAGATATGGCATGGGCTGGGTGAGACAGACTCCTGGGAAAGGACTGGAATGGGTTGCAAGCATGGCTACATCTAGCACTTACTACTCAGACAAAGTGAAGGGTCGCTTCACCATCTCCAGGGACAATGCCAAAAGCCAGCTGTATCTGCAAATGAACAGCCTCAAAGCTGAAGACACGGCAGTCTATTACTGTGCAAGAGGCACAGTGAGAGGAAGTAAATCTGAAGCCAGGCAAGAACCTTCCTTTCTTCAGAGCAGCTCTTCAATTTGACTAGATTAGTCAATGAGGATTGATCTTTTTTTTCCCCTTTCTCTCATTCTTCCTTCCCCGCCCTGAGCAATTCTGGACAAACTGTCAAACTAAAAGAAACACGTGTCTTAGAAAACAATTAAACCCATCAGTCTCACTAGGTAGAACTTTTGTAACACTAACAAGACAGACATAAACCATACAGAGAAACACATTTACATGAACAAAGAAATACTTCCCAAGGACAATATTAATCACTACTGGTCCAAACAGACACAAACTAGATGGAATTAAATGAACATTTTTTTAAAAAAAAAAGCCAAATCATAATCTCAATAACTTGAGGGGTATAAGAACAGGACCCCTCACCTTGGGAAACTATTAGCTAGTCCAGAAACCATCCCTGTACCATTACTCCATCTGGTTTCTGTAAATAAACCTACTTTCTGGCAGCTTTTTTCATTCTGTATCATTTCTTCCAACTGAGCCGAAGGTCTGCTTCCCAGCTGGAGACCCGAATCATGGGAAATCTTCCCACAATTCATAAAACAAATGTCATTAGATATTATCTCATTCTGAAGGACTGATAATTATTATTTTTTAAAAAATATTTTTGTACTAATTCACTGAAAAGTTCTCAAGAAAATTTCACATCTCAGTGGGCTACAGTCTTCACTGTGAAACTGATATGCATACAAACATACATACATACATACATACATATATATACACACATTGGTGGATTGTTGGTTTTGGTCTCCAGAGAAACTGTCTAGGTATTTCAAATCTGGAAATAAAAACAAAAAAAAGGGATTATATTATCATATTCAGTCAACATATCAAACAGTTTTGGAGGCCAGATATTTTTATTATTATTATTTCCTTAATAATTCATTAAAACATTCTCAAGAAAATTGTACGGTTACTCAATGTGAAACTGAGAAATTTCATAAAAAGATAGATTTTGCGTTTAAGTCACCAGAAAAACCTATCAAGCTATTTCAAATCATTGCCTGGAAATGGAAACAAAGTGAAAGGATTACATTATCATATTCAGTGAACATATAAAACAGTTAAAACAATACAGATACTAATACATACACAAATCTAGAAGATTTTAAAGTTTCTCTCAATGGATCTGAAAATAATTTAATTTCTCAAGAGACCACAATCCTTACTTGAAAGCCCTATGTGGTTTTATGACAGATAACCTAAAGCAAAGAAAATACATATATTTTGGATAATACAAAGATAATTATTTATCTTTTTTTTTAAATAAGGGGGTGTATTTGGTCACAATATGATTTAAGTTTGACTTTGTGAGTTGAGCTAACTAGCCTAGCTGAAACAGTATTCTTTGCAGTTCAGCTGCCATTTAATGTTTTTGGGATTTTTTCATAAAATAAACAATAAAGAGAGTTCATATGTTGTATTTTTCAGGCTTTTCTCTTATTTAATAAACAATAAATTTGCCCTTCCAGCTATTAATTCACAGAAAAATAATTGGCTCCCAATCCCTTTCTTAGGAGTGCACTGTTAATTACAAAATGCACATGCAAGTGATGTTCACAGAAGTGTGTTTGTCAAGGGCTCTTTTATCCCAACAGATATGTAAATCGAGGCACCATTTCCCCTTTAAAGGAGCCCCATGGTTTCCCTCTTCAGACAACACCCAGGAACACAAACCTTGTGCAATTTTCTCTCTTGTCTCTTGTCAATTCCCTCCATTCATTCAGTGAAAATGTGGCTCAACCTTGTGTCCTTACTAGTAGTCCTCAAAGGTAATTATTTTCCCCCATACAGTTTATTTCCATGTTCTGCTCCTCTAAGCAGGAGATCTCATTTAAAAAAAAAAATATTTCTTTTTAGGAGTCCAGTCTCAAGTCCAGCTTGGTGGAGTCTGGAGGGGACGTGAGAAGCCCTGGAGGGTCCCTCCGTCTCTCCTGCCAAGCCTCTGGATTCACCCTTCAGCAGCTATGAAATGCACTGGGTGAGACAGGCTCCAGGAAAAGGACTGGAATGGGTGGCATACATAAGCTCTGGTTCTGGTACTATACTACTCAGACAAAGTGAAGGGGCGCTTCACCATCTCCAGGGACAATGCCAAAAGCCAGCTGTATCTGCAAATGAACAGCCTCAAAGCTGAAGACACAGCAGTCTATCATTGCATGGCTGACACAGTGAGAGGAAGTGAATCTGAAGCTTAGACAAAAACCTTCCTTTCTTCAGAGCAGCTCTTCAATTTGACTAGATTAGTCAATGAGGATTGATCTCTGTCTAGAGAGAACTTCAGAATGGTTTATTCTGGGCATCAGAGAGTTTGCTGTAAGAAGATATAGGATGATGAAAATGGCTTGAAAATCTGTTCAATCTTTCCTGTTTACAAGGTGATTTATGTTCTAGAAAAAAGATGGAATGGAATATTGTTCTTTAATATCATGGCAGAAGCCTGGAAATGAAACCTCAGGGTGAACCTTCTAAACATCCAAACTGCCATTCTCAAATTGAGGAAACACCTAATTCTCCTTGGAGAATTAGGAACATGCTCTCCCTCCTCATTTATGACACTAGGGGGCAATGTTGTAACATAAAATCCCACTGTGGATGCATGTGGTGGGGTCAGAGATAACTACCCATTAGCACCCAAAGGAAACACTTGAGACATCAAAATTAGTCCAAACCCTGAAACAAGTGGGCAATTTCCTTTGGAAAAAGAAATTTTACAATTAAATATTACAAAGGAAACCCAGACCCATAAACCTGGCATCACAGAATGTAGATGCATCCAGGAAGGATGGGGTACCTCAGGAAAAGAACCATTTAAGAGATAAGCCAAACCAAACTTTAAATCCAAAGAAAAGTTTGTTTTTTTTTTTTCCCTGTCTCTCATTCTTCCTTCCCTGTCGTGACCAATTCTGGGCAAACTGTCAAACTAAAAGAAACACGTGTCTTAGAAAAAATTATACCCATGAACCTCACTAGGTAGAACTTTTGTAACACTAACAAGACAGACATAAACCATCACATACATGAACAAAGAAATATTTCCCAAGGACAATATTAATCACTACTGGTCCAAACAGACACAAACTAGATGGAATTAAATGAACATTTTTTTTTTCAAAAGCCAAATCATAATCTCAATAACTTGAGGGGTATAAGAACAGGACCCCTCACCTTGGGAAACTACTAGCTAGTCCAGAAACCATCCCTGTACCATTACTCCGTCTGGTTTCTGTAAATAAACCTACTTTCTGGCACCTTGTTTAATTTGGTGTCATTTCTTCCACATGAGCCAAAGGTCTGCTTCCCAGCTGGAGATCAGAATCATGGGAAATCTTCCCACAATTCATAAAACAAATGTCATTAGATATTGTCTCATTCTGGAGGACTGATAATTATTATTTTTAAAAAAATATTTTTGTATTAATTCACTGAAAAGTTCTCAAGAAAATTTCACATCTCAGTGGGCTACAGTCTTCACAGTGAGCCTGATATATATATATGTAGGTCTTTGGTTATTCGGGTTTTCTCCAGCGTAAAATTGGAAGTTTCTTGGCAACGTTTCGACGAAGTCCCATTCTTCATCTTCAGGACTTCATCGAAACGTCGCCAAGACACTTCCAATTTTGCACGGGAGAAAATCCAAATAACCAAAGACCTATATACAAACACCCACAAAAATCTCAGAAAACAAATCTATATAATGGTGGATTGTTGGTTTTGATCACCAGAGAAACTGTCTAGGTCTTTCAAATCTTTGTTGGAAATAAAAACAAAATGAAGGAATCGTATTATCATATTTAGTGAACATATAAAACAGTTTTGGAGATCGGATATTTTTATTTTATTCTATTTCTGTAATAATTCCTTGAAACATGCTCAAGAAAATTGTAGGAGTACTCAATGTGTAACTGAGAAATTTTATTAAAAGATTTTGCATTTAAGCCACCAGAAAAAAACTTATCTAGGTATTTCAAACCTTGACCTGGAAGTGAAAACAAAGTGAAAGGCTCATATTATCATATTTAGTTATCATATAAAACAGTTAAAAAACTATAGATACTAATACATTTTGTGTATTTTTCAGGCTTTTCTTTTATTTAATACACAATAAATTTGCCCTTTCACCTGTTAATTCACAGAAATATAAATGGCTCCCAATCCTTTTCTTAGGGGTGCAATGTTAATTACAAAATGCACATGCAAGTGATATTCACAGAAGTGTGTTTGTCAAGGGCTCTTTTATCCCAACAGATATGTAAATCGAGGCACCATTTCCCCTTTAAAGGAGCCCCATGGTTTCTCTCTTCAGACAACACCCAGGAACACAAACCTTGTGCAATTTTCTCTCTTATCTCTTGTTCAATTCCCTCCATTCATTCAGTGAAAATGTGGCTCAACCTTGTGTCCTTACTAGTAGTCCTCAAAGGTAATTATTTTCCCCCACATACAGTTTATTTCCATGTTCTGCTCCTCTAAGCAGGAGATCTCATTTAAAAAAAAACAATCTTTTCTTTTTAGGAGTCCAGTCTCAAGTTCCAGTTGGTGGAGTCTGGAGGGGATGGTGAGAAGACCTGGAGGGTCCCTCCGTCTCTCCTGCCAAGCCTCTGGATTTGATTTCAGCAGCTATTGGATGGGCTGGGTGAGACAGGATCCTGGAAAAGGCCTGGAATGGGTGGCATACATAAGTACTGGTTCTAGTACTATTCGCTACTCAGACAAAGTGAAGGGCCGCTTCACCATCTCCAGGGACAATGCCAAAAGCCAGCTGTATCTGCAGATGAACAGCCTCAAAGCTGAAGACACAGCAATCTATTACTGTGCGAGAGACACAGTGAGAGGAAGTGAATCTGGAGCCAAACAAGAACCTTCCTTTTTTCAGAGCAGTTCTTCAACTTGACTGAGTCCCACATCCTGGATTAGTCAATGAAGATTGATTGATTTCTAATGAGTACTTCAGAATATTTTATTCTGGGTTTCAAAAAGTGTGTTGTCAGAAAAATAAAATAAAATCCAAGTACCCTGTCCCTATTTAGAAGGTGATTTGGTTTCATTGGAACGGAATATAGTCTTTTAGTATCATGGTGGAACAGTGGTTCTCAACCTTTCTAACGCCGTGACCCCATAATACAGTTCCCCATGTTGTGGTGGCCCCCAAGTGAGTGTGGCCACCAATAAGAGGGAGTAGGACAGCTAGGGAAAAGGGAACAAAATGGTGGACAGCATGGTTTGGCGACCCCCATGAAATGGTTGTTCGACCCCAAATGGGGTCCCGACCCTGTTGGAGTTGTAGCCCCCTCCTCGCCCCCTCCTTGCCCTTTCATTGCCCTTTCTAGAGGAAACGTCTGCGGCAAAGCTCGCTAGCTCGTAACACAAATGGCAAACCGCATGACAGTTAAACAGGATGTTATGCAGAACTAAGCTCGAGAAGGCACTAACCACAGGGTTTTGTTTTGTGTCGCCAGGTGGGCAATATAGGTCAAACATGACATGTACTCTTGACATGCTCTGAGACTAAGTAATGGGAGTGGTTTTAAGCTTATGGCGCAGCAAGAAATTATATGTATGGCACAAATGTATCACATGTAATCAATGCTTATTTGCATATTGTAATCAATAAAGTAGTTCCCGGACTTCGGTTCGGGGCAGTCCCACCCCAAGAAAGCCTCTGTGTCAGGAGTCTTCTTTAGTGTCAGCTTGTGGGATCTGCCCCACGTATGGGGGGATAGCAAAAGTGCAATCCCCTCAGGTGGTGACCCCGACGTGATTCGACCCGCAAGTCGAGTGTATGTCCTGTTGCAACTCTCAGGGCCGGTCGTCGCAGAACGAAGTACCCTCCTAGACGTGTATGTCCTGTTGCAACTCTCAGGGCCGGTCGTCGCAGAACGAAGCACCCTCCTAGACGTGTATGTCCTGTTGCAACTCTCAGGGCCGGTCGTCGCAGAACGAAGCACCCTCCTAGACGTATATGTCCTGTTGCAACTCTCAGGGCCGGTCGTCGCAGAACGAAGTACCCTCCTAGACATCTCTTGGTACCCTCATACTTCACTCGGCAGGACGCCTACTGCAATTCAGGGCCGGTCGTCATGGAACGAAGTACCCTCCTAAAACTCGTGAGTATGGGGGCAGAATTCTCTAAGCCTCAGGTTGCGCACCTCCACGAACTTAGGGAATTGACCAAGACCCGACTTAATGGTGGGAAAAATCTGGCCGTTCCCACCAAGTCAGACCTGATCAGTCTGCTAAAATATATTTATCAACAATGCCCAGCCTACCCCGAGGAAGGGTCACTTAAAGAATCTGTATGGATTAAATTAGGAACATATTTTCATGAGTCCCCTAGGGCTCCGCCGAAAATATTGATCACTTGGCGGATTGTCATGGAATATTTAAAAATACACAAGAATACCATGGTCGGGGCTTCAGACCCCCCGCCGCCATATCAATCTGGCATTCAGAACCCTCCCCAGATAGAACCTGTAACGGTGGCACAAGTAGAAGCCACGGCCCCGGCTCAGACCGCTCCGAAAACATCAGAAACACCTGCCGGCGCTATTGCTCAAGCGCTGGCTAGAGCTAAACTTTCGGGCGATTTAGAATTAGATGAATATGAAATGTGCTACCCAGTAGAATTTGACACAAATGGGGCTCCATATATCGAACCAGTCCCTATGAAGTTAATTAGGGATATTAAGCAAGCTGTCAATACGTATGGCATTCAAAACTCTTATGTCATAGGGTTAATAAGTAATCTAGCCAACTCCTTTTACATGTTGCCATCCGATTGGAAAAATTTGTGTCGCATGATTTTGACAAGTTCACAGTTTGTGGTATGGGAATCAGAGTATAAGAGGGAAGCAGAAGCCATCGTTAGAAGAATCGGGGGAAACTTGCAATTGGAACAATTGATCGGCGAAGGACGTTATGCTTCTCCTAATATCCAAAAGAACATGTCACGCGCTGCATTTGCTCATTCTAGTTTAGCAGCGCAAAATGCTTTTTCAAAGATAGACGACCCAGGCTCTTCTGCCGCAGGGTCGTTCGCAAAAATTTATCAAGGGTCCAGTCAGTCCTATGGAGATTTCATTGATCAGTTGCAGAAGGCAGTTTTTAGAGAGATCCGGAATCCCATAGCACAAAAGGAACTTATAAAAAAACTAGCTTATGAAAATGCCAATGAAGATTGCAGACGTATCATTCAGCCTCTCCTCAGCAAGCCTGATGCCGAACTGGCAGATTACATCCAAGCATGCCGAATCGTCGGCACCAATGTCCACAACATGGAAACTTTAGCAATGGCATTGCAAAACATCAAAGGGGAGACGTCTAAGAATGGAAACTGTTTTAACTGTGGCAAGCCCGGTCATTTTCGAGCACAGTGTCGAGCCCCTGGGGGCGGCGCACATCAGTCAAATTCAAATCAAAACAAGCCGAAAACTGTGTGCCCCCGTTGTAAAAAGGGCTATCACTGGGCTTCCCTGTGTCGTGTGAATCCCCCTCCCCAATCTGCCAACAATAACAACCAGAACCAGGGAAACTAGTGGGGGGGCACTCAGCCAGCCCTCTCCCCAAGGCTGATTCTTTGGCTACATTTAACTTAAAAGAAACCTTTATAACATCTATGCATGCTGTTGCTGCCGAAACTGTTTCTATGCAAATACCTGGTCTTACATATTTTCTTCCTCTTACTTTACCTGATGTTTCTATGCCGACAAAAGTCCCCTTGCTTTGCTATCCGGCTAGAGACCTCATCTCCCGCGGCGTTTTCGCTTCCCCTTTCTTGGTTGACTCCGATGATTTTTCTTCTCTGGCTCTAATTTGCATTGTTGACGCTCCTTTAGTCATCTACAAGGAAGACCTGGCTGCAATTGTGATGCCGGTGGCCCTGGAGTTCGATCCCCTCGCTTATGAGGACATGGAGCCGATTGTTCCCCCCAACCCCTCTCTTAACAATTACCGAAAGCACTTTCTTGACCACCCATTGCTTGCTTTCACTTCCACTATTCATTCGGATAAGCCTTTTGTTACCTTTGTGTTAAATAATCGTTCTTTTTCAGGCATAATAGACACCGGAGCAGATATTTCAGTAATTAGAACCTCTGAGTGGCCTGCTGACTGGCCCACCACCTCTTCCCCTGCCGTCCGAGGCGTCGGAGGCATCCAAACGGCCCGAATTAGCACCTTGCCTCTGTTAGTCACTTCCTCTCACACCGACAAACAGGCACGTATTCGCCCTGTCGTCCTTCCCCTGCAAGTTAATCTTTGGGGTCGGGATCTTTTATCCCAAATTGGGGCCACATTAACCTTTTAGGAATGGCAAAAACTGCCCCCACCCCTCTATCCCTCACTCTTTTAGACCCCACTCCTGTTTGGGTGGATCAATGGCCCCTAACAAAAGAAAAATTGGAAGCATTACAACAGCTAGTCAATAAGGAGTTTCAATTGGGCCATCTGGTTGCATCTACTAGTCCTTACAACTCACCTGTTTTTGTGATAAAAAAGAAATCTGGAAATTGGAGATTTTTACAGGATTTGCGTTCCATAAACAGACTGATTGCTCCTATGGGACCCTTCCAACTGGGACTTCCCAACCCAAATTTAATCCCAAAAAATTTTTCTTTAATTATCATGGATCTAAAGGATGCGTTTTTTTCCATCCCTTTGGATCCCAAAGATCGCCAATTGTTTGCCTTTACCATACCAGTGTTTAATAATGCATACCCATCTGAGCGTTTTGAATGGACAGTTTTGCCTCAAGGAATGATAAACAGTCCTACAATGTGCCAATATTTTATTTCCTTTTTGTTGAAGCCATTTCGTGTGAAGTATCCCACCTTTTTATTTTATCATTACATGGATGATATTTTAATTGCCTCTTCTGCTTGTTTTGAGATTGTGTCCACTGTGGCCGCTGAGCTTAGAGACCACATGGCTAACAATGGACTGACAGTGGCACCCGAAAAAATTCAAACAAAAGAACCATTTTTGTATCTGGGCCATAAGGTCATAGCCTCCAATTCCTCTCCAATACTGCCCCAATTAACACTTCCCAATCCTGCTACCCTTGTTCAGATGCAGCAATTTTTGGGAACCCTTAATTGGGCACGACCATATATGGGCTTAACCACCTCACAATTGGCACCTCTTTTTTCAGCCTTGCAAGGTCACAAATCTCCCGGTGACAAGATTTTTCTAACATCTGAACACCTGGAAATTCTCAAATTAATCACTCAAATGTTGTCTGTCAAATGGGTTGATCGTGTCTTGCCTGATGTTCCTTTGTCTCTTATAATTCTAAACACCCTTCTTCTACCCACGCTGGTTGTGGTCCAAATTGCATCGCCTTTGATGATTGTCGAATGGATGCATTTGCCCCACACTCCACGCAAAACTATCACCTCTCGTTTTCCCCTGTATGCTTTTCTGTTGTTCAAAGGACGTGCTCGATGCCGCCAACTAACAGGCACTGAGCCAGTCGCTCTTTTTGTCCCCCTGCGACTCCCTCTGTGGGAACAGGTGTACAGGGAATCCGAAGAACTCCAAGCTGCTCTAGCCCAGTGGCCAGGACAGGTTAAGTATCATTTCCCTGCTGACCCCCGTCTGACTCTTGTCCAAACTGTCCCAGTGAAATGGCAATCTCCATGTGTGTCTTTTCCTATTCCTTCTGCCCCCACAGTCTTTGCAGATGGAAGCGCCCACACAGGCGTTTGTGCTTTCTTACAGGATGGTGTTTGGCAAACCCATCGCACTCATGGCCACAAGTCTGCCCAGAGGGCTGAAATGGCCGCTTCTGTATTGGCCTTTTCTATGTTTAAGGATTCTGCCTTTAACTTAATTGTTGACTCTTTGTATGTTGCTCATGTTGTTAGTAATATCTTTCAGTCCTATCTTTCACCTTCATTAGACTCATCTCTAATGGCTCTTTTTTGTCAACTACAAGACTTAATCCATGCCCGTGTCCACCCTTTTTTTATCGCCCACATCCGAAGTCACCAGCCCTTTCCAGGCATGCTGACAGAAGGTAACGCAAAGGCGGATGCGGCAGCAAAGGAGCCTTTAACAAAGGAACCTTTGAGTGAAGAGCCTCATCAATTTTTTCCCGTGACTCCGCTCACGGCCTGGGAAAGTCATAGTTACTTTCACCAAAATAAAAAAGCCCTCATGAAACAGTTTTCATTGACATCGGCCGAGGCTTCGGCCATCATCCAGCAATGTGCCACCTGCAGTTTACAAGCACATGCTATACCAATGGGAGTCAACCCACGTGGGTTGGCCACTTGTTCCCTATGGCAAATGGATGTCACTCAATATCCCCCTTTTTCCCCGTGGAAGTTTTTACATGTTTCAATTGATACTTTTTCAAATTTTATTATGGCCTCCCCCCAAAGGGGCGAGGCTACGAAGCACGTAATTAATCATTGTCTCCGTACATTTGCAGTGATGGGATGCCCCAAAGAGTTAAAAACGGATAACGGCTCAGCGTATAGCAGCGCGCCGTTTTCCTCTTTTTGTCAGAAATGGGGAATTGCCCACAAGTTTGGGATTCCTTGGAATTCTACCGGTCAAGCGATCGTTGAACGTGCTAATCAGACCCTAAAAAACATGCTAAAACGATTCGAACAGGAGAAAAGAACTCCTGGCCTCCCCTCACTGCAAGATACCTTAAATCGAGCACTCTATTCTCTCAATTTCCTGAACCTCACAGGCACTCCACCTTTGTCGGCAGCGCAACGCCACTTTGCCACGCCAGAGTCACCGACAATCAAAAATTTGCGCCCTCCAGTGTATTATCGCGAGTTGCCTGATCCTACTTGGAAAGGTCCGGCTGATCTCATCACCTGGGGGCGAGGCTACGCAGCAATCCAACTGCCTGATCGAGTACTGTGGGTGCCAGGGAAGCAAGTAAGACCCTATCTTTGCAAACCTGCGGGCCCACCCATTGCATCGGAGCCTGATCCTCCCTCACATCATGATGCCTGAATCCACTCCTGACCTCGGAGGGGAACCAGACCCCTGGTCTTTTCCACCACTTCCCGAATATGGACCTCCGGATAGCCCCCCGACCTACCAGGAAAACGGTCGGGGGTCCTCCGAAGACTCCCCTCCTCCCTATAAGGATCCGCCGCGATGTCCCTTCATTCGAGGTGGTCTAACATTTACCGATTTGCTAACTGCGCGAATGTCCTGCTCGCATTTTGTATATCATTTTGTAATATTGACACTGTTTATGATATGTATTTTCTTGGCTATGTGGGTGGCTTTTGCAGAGGGTGACAAGGCTAACAATACCTATCAAGAAAATCGAAACTGGAACCAGACTCCAACTCCTTCGCACAGAGTGCGCAGGGAGGTGGATGCCAGTTGTGACCGATGCATCGTTCAGGTTAAACAAGGTCTGTCAACTGTTCTCACCCTGATTCATTCTAATATTGTACCAACTCCCTGTCCCCAGAAATCTTATTGTATTTTTAACAAAACTCAATATGTGACCTGCACCAAAGGATTGTCATTCACGTGTCATAACCCGGCCCTGCCCACACGGTATAACATCTCCATTTGGGCAGGCATTGGGATTGTCAAGGGACCGCCTCAAGCAGCTCGGTTATGGTACGTGAATCACACAGTGGTCACTAAAGCCGAAAATTGGGCTATAACCTTTGATGTCTGCGGTGCCATGTCGAAAAAATCCTTCCGTGGCTGTGGGCATCGACCTGCTGGTTATAACAACGATCACAAGTACTTGTGCACTAGACACCCACCCCTAGAGCCTTCTCAGTTTCCACAGCCCTGCATCGCTTGGGAGGCCTACCAAAAAACAGTTTGGCGGGCAATTTGTTCGCACACGAATGGGGGCTACAGGGGCTGCTATAATCCCCTTAATGTTAAACAGCGCCTTGTTCGTTCCTTTGTCCGACAACCAAATAGCAACAAAGTAACTATAGAATTAGAAAAAAATCATCCTCCCATGGAAACCTATGGCATAGGCATTGATGGATATGGATTAGACCCATTGACACACATCACCATAAAGGTCCAAAACTTGGAAGATGTTCAAAGAATTGAATGGTCCGTTTATGATCATCTAGCTAAATTAGAGACCAAAGCGTCTCCCCTAATATCGGACAAAGCACGAAACCTTTTCATGGAATTTGCAGAACAAATAGCCTTTACATTGGGTGTAAAAAATTGTTTTGTTTGTGGAGGTACCAACAGGGGGGAACAATGGCCATGGGAGGTTCATGAAGCAGATCCTGAGTATTTGAACAATCAAACAAAATTTGCTAATTTTACCTTTAGAAACCTGGAAGACCCTGTAGTGTGGACTTTAACTACAAATATTGTAGGAACAAATTGCTTTTTCAGGAATGGCTCCATCCCTGTTGGGACACTTCTTTGCCGTGGACAATGGGAAAGGGGCCAGTGGGTCTCCCCCACCAACGAGTCTGCTCCTGTACTATTAAATCATACCTTTTTTAATTATCTCCGCAGGTCCTCTCTCAATTGGACAGCACCGCAAGGCATGTATTGGGTATGCGGTTCCTTTGCATACGAGTACTTGCCTCCAGATTGGTCAGGGGCTTGTGTGTTAGGGTGGATCAAACCTTCCTTTTTCCTCCTTCCCCTGACTGCTAAACAGACCCTGGGTGCCCCGGTGTATGACAATTGGGGTAGAAAAAAGAGGGATGTGCCCTCGGAAGGCTATGCAGGTATACGGGTAGGCAACTGGAAGGACGATGAATGGCCACCCGAAAGAATCATTGCCTACTACGATCCTGCCACTTGGGCTGAGGATGGGTCCTGGGGTTATAGGACCCCCATATATATGCTTAATCGCATTATCCGCTTGCAGGCTGTGCTTGAGTTAGGCAGCCGACGCATTTCAGCCGCTTTAACCATTCTTGCCACTGCTCAGGACAAGCTGCGCACCGCTGTTTACCAAAATCGCTTGGCCTGGGATTATCTTCTTGCTAAGGAGGGAGGAGTGTGTGGAAAATTTAATTTGACCAACTGTTGTTTAGAAATTGATGAAACTGGAAAGGTAGTTGCAGATTTGACCAAAGAACTCCATAAGCTGGTCCATGTGCCTGTACAAAAATGGACTGGGATCGTGGATGAAGGAGGATTTTTGGGCGGGATTTTTAGGAACTGGAAGCAAGCAGCCTTCATGTTTGGTATAATCTTGTTAGGTCTCCTTTTACTTCCCTGCCTGATTCCCCTTCTTCGAAACCTGATACAAAGCACTGTGGAGGGTATGGTGGACAAGAGGACCATACACCTGGTTAGGTACAAGGCACTGCCAACCATGGATGTACCGGACCCTTTAGCCATAACCCTTAGCAGTGAAGAAGATGATTTTTCCTTTAATTAGAAAAAGACAGGGGAGATGTTGGAGTTGTAGCCCCCTCCTCGCCCCCTCCTTGCCCTTTCTTTGCCCTTTCTAGAGGAAACGTCTGCGGCAAAGCTCGCTAGCTCGTAACACAAATGGCAAACCGCATGACAGTTAAACAGGATGTTATGCAGAACTAAGCTCGAGAAGGCACTAACCACAGGGTTTTGTTTTGTGTCGCCAGGTGGGCAATATAGGTCAAACATGACATGTACTCTTGACATGCTCTGAGACTAAGTAATGGGAGTGGTTTTAAGCTTATGGCGCAGCAAGAAATTATATGTATGGCACAAATGTATCACATGTAATCAATGCTTATTTGCATATTGTAATCAATAAAGTAGTTCCCGGACTTCGGTTCGGGGCAGTCCCACCCCAAGAAAGCCTCTGTGTCAGGAGTCTTCTTTAGTGTCAGCTTGTGGGATCTGCCCCACGTATGGGGGGATAGCAAAAGTGGAATCCCCTCACGACCCACAGGTTGAGAACCACTGTGGTGGAAGGATGGAAATGGAATTTTAGGATAATCCTAAATATTCTCCACATTGGAGAAATATGCGCTGTGAATGAAACTCCTTAGAAAATGAGGTTGATGTGTCCTCTCCTCAGTTTTGATTCTGGAGGCAATGTTGTCTCAAACTCCAAATGTCTACGCATCTGGAAGAGGTTTTTTCGGGAATAAAATATGTATAATTGTATATTTTCTTATTTTGGAAGTGTCTAGTCCATCCCCCTGCTCAAACAGCAGACCTTATACCAGTGATGGCAAACCTTTTAGAGACTGAGTGCCGAAACTGCAACCCAAAACCCACTTATGCATCATCGGGTGATGGGTGGATGTGGCCCATTGGCTGGGTGTGGCCCATTGGGTGGGTGTGGCTTTGGGAGTAATGGCAGACTGGGTGGGACTAAAAAGTTCAATCAATCAATTCTAACTTTGCAAGATTTTTTTTCCCATGAGAAATTGAAATTGACTGATTGATTGAACCTTTTTTTTTTTTGCACACAGTAGCGGAGGCCTAAAGCAAAAAGGTTGTATAAAACCCAGCTGAAGGCCTAGGACAGGGGCAATGGTGCACATGCCCACAGATAGGGCTCTAAGTGCCACCTCTGTCACCCGTGCCATGGGTTCGCCACCATTGCCTAATACCATTCCAGACAAATGGTTGTACAGTCTCTTCTTTAAAAAGTATGAGGAGTGGGGAGAGATAACAGAGTTGGAAGGGACCTTGTAAATCTTCTAGTCCAACCCCCCGTTCAAGAAGGAGACCGTATTCCATTTCACACAAAGGGTTGTCCAATCACTTCTTTAAAACCTCCAGTGTTGGAATATCCACAACCTCTGGAGGCAAGTTGTTCCATTGATTAATTGAAAAACACAAATGGAAGTTCCCTGAAATGTATTAGCAAACTGTCCCTTTCTCCTAACTCACAGAGGGAAAAAAATGGGTCTGAACCATTTTCTTAGGATTCGAATGTTAATTACAAAATGCACCTAGAAGTGATGCTCACATAAATGTATTAGTCAATGCCCTGAGGAGCTCTTTTATTCCAATAAATATCTAAATCAGGACACAATTTCCCCTTTAAAGGAGCCACATAGTTTCCCTTTTCAGACAAATTCCACCAACATAAACCGTGGGCAATTTCCTGCATTTTCCCCTGTCAATTCCCTCCATTCATTAGAGTGAGCAAAAATGTGGCTAAACCTTGCGTCCTTGCTAGTAGTCCTCAAAGGTAATTATTTTCACTATGTAAAATTTATTTCCATGTTCTGCTCTTGTATGCAGGAGATCTCATTAAAAAATATTTTTAGGAGTCCAGTCTCAAGTCCAGTTTTTGGAGTCTGGAGGGGATGTGAGAAGGCCTGGAGGGTCCCTCCATCTCTCCTGCCAAGGATCTAGATCAGTGGTTCTCAACCTTTTTAATGGTGTGACCCCCAACCGGTCGTAAGTAAAGGACTACTCAACTGGTCGTAAGTCGAGGACTACTCAACTGGTGCAGCACGTTTGGAGAACGGGGCTTTTGGCGGGCTCAGCAGGGCAGAGACTGCCTGGACAATTCCTATTGGCTTTTGAAAGCCAATAGAATTAGACTCTATTCAAGAGAGTCTATTCTATTGGCTTTCAAAAGCCAATAGAATAAAAGGGAGTAGCACAGCTAAGGAAAAGGGGAAAAAATGGTGGACTGTATTGTTTGGCGACCCCCGTGAAATAGTCGTTCGACCCCAAATGGGGTCCCGACCCACAGGTTGAGAACCACTGATCTAGATTCACCTTCAGCAACCATAACAAGCACTGGTTGAGACAAGCTCCAGGAAAAGGACTGGAATGGGTTGCAGGCACGAGTACATCTTGCATTTACTAATCAGCCAAAGTGAAGGGATGCTTCGCCATCTCCAGGGAAAATTCCAAAATCCAGCTGTATCTGCAAATGAGCAGCCTCAAATCAGAGGACACCACAGTCTACTACTGTATGAGAGACACAGTGAGAGGAAGTGAATCTGAAGCCAAAGAAGAATCTTCCTATCTTCAGAGCAGTTCTTCAACTTGACAGAGCCACAGACCATGGATTAGTCAATGAGGATTGATCGATGTCTAGTGAGAACTTCAGGGGAGGTAAGGTACCCACCGGGCCCCACGCACACCAGCAATCCTCCCTGCGCCCGCCGGCCTCCCACCTCCCACCCCTGGCCCTTTTACTTACATTTTTAGTAGTTGCTCAGCAGGGAGGGGTGGAAACTTCCAGACAGCTCACCTTCGCTGCAGACAACTTGCAGCACCGTTTGCAGACTGGGACTTTTGGCAGGCTCAGCAGGGCAGAGATAGCCCAGACAATTCCTATTGGCTTTTGAAAGCCAATAGAATTAGACTCTATTCAAGAGAGTCTATTCTATTGGCTTTCAAAGGCCAATAGAATAAAAGGGAGTAGCACAGCTAAGGAAAAAGGGGAAAAAATGGTGTGCGTTGTTTGACGACCCCCGTGAAATGGTCGTTCGACCCCAAATGAGGTCGCGACCCACAAGTTGAGAACCACTGATTTAAAAAGTTAAAACATTGTGGAGACGAATTCATACACCAACCCAGAAAATTTTAAAGTTTCCTTTAATGGATCACAAAAGAATTTAATTTCTCAAGGCAGCAAAATCCTTGCTGGGAAGCCCTATCTGGCTTTATGACAGATAACCTAGAGCAAGCAAAATATTTTGAATAATACAAAGAGAATTATTTATCATTCTGTTTCAAATAAGAGGGTGTTTTTGGTCACAATAAGACCTAAGTTTGATTTTCTGAGTTGAGTGGCCCAACTATTCTAGTGACACAATGTTCCTTGAAGTTTATCTGCCATTTATTTTCCATAAAACAAAGAAAGGGTAATGAGGCTGTCTTGTAAGAAAGTTTGATGCGCTAGCCTTTTTATATGTTCTCTAATAGGTAAATTAGTTTCATTTCTATTGCCTTCAATCATTTAGAGAAGGGCTGGATTTTTTCAGTCTTTTCTGTTAGTTAATATGCAGCAAACTGGCCCCTTTTCCTATAAACTCACACAAAAAATGGTCCAAATCCTTTTCTTAGGACTGGAATGTTAATTATAAAACGCACATGGAAGCGATATTTACAGAAGTGTGCTTCTCAATGCGCTGAGGGGCTCTTTTATCCCAACAGATATGTAAATCGAGGCACAATTTCCCCTTTAAAGGAGCCCCATGGTTTCCCTTTACAGACAACACCCAGAATTATAAACCTTGTAATATTTCCCGAATCTTCTTCAATCGCTTCCCTCCATTTATTAGAGCAATCAAAAATGTTACTAAACCTTGTGTCCTTACTAGTAGTCCTCAAAGGTAATGATTTCCACTATATGTTTTATTTCCAAATTCTGCTCTTTGATGCAGGAGATCTCATTAAAAATATATTCCTTTTAGGAGTCCAGTCTCAAGTGCAGCTGGTGGAGTCTGGAGGAGATGTGCGAAGACCTGGAGGGTCCCTCCATCTCTCCTGCCAAGCCTCAGGATTCACCTTCAGCAACTATTGGATGGGCTGGGTGAGACAGGCTCCAGGGAAAGGACTGGTATGGGTTGCAAGCATGGATACATCTAGCACTTACTACTCAGACAAAGTGAAGGGTTGCTTCACCATCTCCAGGGATGATGCCCAAAGCCAGCTGTATCTGCAGATGAACAGCCTCAAAGCTGAAGACATGGCCATCTATTACTGTACGAGAGACACAGTGAGAGGAAGTGAATCTGAAGCCAAACAAGAACCTTCCTTTCTTCAGAGCAGTTCTTCAACTTGACTGAGTCCCAGATCCTGGATTAGTCAATGAAGATTGATTGATTTCTAATGAGAACTTCAGGATGTTTTATTCTGGGTTTCAAAAAGTGAATTGTAAAAAAACAAAAGAAAAAACAAACAAACAAAAAAAATCCAAGTACCCTGTCCCTATTTGCAAGGTGATTTGGTTTCATTTGAATGGAATATAGTCTTTTAGTATCATGGTGGAAGGATGGAAATGGAACTTTAGGATAATCCAAAATATTCAAACGGCCAAACACACATAGGAGAAATATGCGCTCTGAATGAAACTCCTTGGAAAATGAGGTTGATGTGTCCTCTCCTCAGTTTTGATTCTGGAGGCACTGTTGTTTCAAACTCCAACTCTTTTTATAGGGCTGAGATTTCAGTTGAAAAACACAAATGGAAGTTCACTGAAATGTATTTGCAAACTGTCCCTTTCTCCTAACTCACAGTGGGGAAAAAAATGGGTCTGAACCATTTTCTTAGGATTGGAATGTGAATTACAAAATGCACATAGAAGTGATGCTCACACAAATGTATTAGTCAATGCCCTGAGGGGCTCTTTTATCCCAACAGATATGTAAATCAGGACACAATTTCCCCTTTAAAGGAGCCCCATAGTTTCCCCTTTCAGACAAATTCCACCAAGATAAACCTTGGGCAATTTCCTGCATTTTCCCCTGATAATTCCCTCCATTCATTAGAGTGAGCAAAAATGTGGCTAAACCTTGCGTCCATGCTAGTAGTCCTCAAAGGTAATTATTTTCACTATGTAAAATTTATTTCCATGTTCTGCTCTTGTATGCAGGAGATCTCATTCAGAAAAAAAAAATAGGAGTCCAGTTTTAAATCCAGTTTTTGGAGTCTGGAGGGGATTTGAGAAGGCCTGAAGGGTCTCTCCATCTCTCCTGCCAAGGATCTAGATTCACCTTCAGCAACTATGACAAGCACTGGGTGAGATAAGCTCCAGGAACAGGACTGGAATTGGTTGCAAGCACGAGTACATCTAGCATTTACTACTCAGACAAAGTGAAGGGATGCTTCGCCATCTCCAGGGAAAATTCCAAAATCCAGCTGTATCTACAAATGAACAGCCTCAAACCAGAGGATACAACAGTCTACTACTGTATGAGAGACACAGTGAGAGGAAGTGAATCTGAAGCCAAAGAAGAATCTTCCTTTCTTCAGAGCAGTTCTTCAACTTGACAGAGCCACAGACCATGGATTAGTCAATGAGGATTGACCGATGTCTAGTGAGAACTTCAGGATGTTTTCTTCTTGGGTATCAGACAGTTTTCTGCAAGAAAATGTAAGATGATGAAAGTGGCTTGAAAGTGGCTGATCTATCTTCAGGAAAAAAAATGGAATGGAATATTGACCTTTAGAATCACGGTAGAAGTCTGGAAATGAAACTTCAGAGTAACCTTCTACACATCCAAACTGCAATTCATGTATTGAAGAAACATCTGGACCCAAAGAATCTCCTTGGAGAATTAAGAACAAGCTTCGCCTCCAAAATTTTGACATTGGGGGGAAATGTTGCTACATGAAATCCCATTTAATATGCACCAGGTGGCAGTGGGGAAGGGAATAAAACAAATGTCATTATATAGTGTCTCATTTTGGAGGCCAGATACCTTTTTTATTTGATTTCTGTATATAAAAGTTCTCAAGAAGATTTTACAACACAGAAGACTTCAATATGAAACTGAGAAATGTTATTAAAAATGGAATTTGGGTTTTTGATGACAGAGAAACCTATCTAGGTATTTCAAATCTTTTCTGGAAATGGAAATCACATGAAAGGATTATATTATCACACTCAGTGAACATATAAAACACTTAAAACAATATAGATACTAATATATACACCAAACAAGAAGATTTCAAAATTTTCCTCAATGGAACTCAAAAATACTTGCATCACTTTGAGAAGTGTTGAAATTTTGCAAGACTGTTTTATTGAATATTCAGTAAACTCATAAGAAAAACAACGAGTCCCTACTTTTTTTCTTAGGGTTTGATTATTAATTGAAAAATGCACATGGAAAGTATGTTCACCAAAATGTGTTAGTCAATGTCATATGAAGCTCTTTTATCCCAACAGATATGTAAATCAAGACACAATTTCTCCTTCAAAGGAGCCCCATAGTTTCCCTTTTCAGACAACTCCCATCAACATAAACCTTGTGCTAGTTGCCAAATCCTTTGAGTGAGCAAAAATGTGGCTAAACATTGTGTCCTTATTAGTAATCCTCAAAGGTAATTGTTTTCCCTACGTAGAGTTTATTACCATGTTCTATTCCTCTATGCAGGAGATCTCATTAAAAAAAAAAACTTTCTTTTTAGGAGTCCAGTCTCAAGTCCAGTTGGTGGAGTCTGGAGGAGATCTGCAAAGACCTGGAGGGTCCCTCCGTCTCTCCTGCCAAGCCTCTGGATTCCCTTTCAGCAGCTTTAGCATGAGCTGGGGGAGACAGTTTCCAGAGAAAGGACTGGAATGGGTTGCACACATGGGTTCATCTATCACTTACTACTCAGACAAAGTGAAGGGACGCTTCACCATCTCCAGGGATGATGCCAAAAGCCAGCTGTATCTGCAAATGAGCAGCCTCACAGCTGAAGACACAGCCGTATATTACTGTGCAAGAGGCACAGTGAGAGGAAGTGAATCTGAAGCCAAACAAGAACCTTCCTTTCTTCAGAGCAGTTCTTCAACTTGACTGAGTCCCAGATCCTGGATTAGTCAATGAAGATTGATTGATTTCCAATGAGAACTTCACGATGTTTTATTCTGGGTTTCAAAAAGTGTGTTGTAAGAAAACAAAAGAAAACAAAACAAAAAATCCAAGTACCCTGTCCCTATTTACAAGATGATTTGGCTTCATTGGAAGGGAATGTAGTCTTTTAGTATCATGGTGAAAGGATGGAAATGGAACTTTAGGATAATCCTATATAAAAATCAAGACAGCATACTAAAAAGCAGAGACATCACTCTGCCAACAAAAGTGTGTATAGTCCGGGCCATGGTTTTCCCGGTTGCAATGTATGGCTGTGAAAGTTGGACCATAAGAAAGACTGAGCACCAAAGAATTGAGGCCTTTGAACTATGGTGCTGGAGAAGACTCCTGCGAGTCCCTTGGACTGCAAGGCATTCAAACTGGTCAGTCCTAGAAGATATCAACTCTGACTGCTCTTTAGAAGGCCAGATGCTGAAGTAGAAACTTAAATATTTTGGCCACCTAATGAGAAGGAAGGACTCACTGGAGAAGGGCCTAATGCTGGGAAAGATTGAGGGCAATAGAAGAAGGGGACAACAGAGAATGAGATGGCTGGATCGAGTCACTGAAGCAGTAGGTGTGAAAAATGAACTCCAGAAGATGGTAGAGGACAGGAAGACCTGGAGGAACGTTGTCCATGGGACCACGATGGGTCAGACACGACTTAGCAATTAACAACAACAACAAAATATTCAAACTGCCAAACACACATTGGGGAAATATGCGCTCTGAATGAAACTCCTTAGAAAATGAGGTTGATGTGTCCTTTCACCAGTTTTAATTCTGGAGGCAATATTGTCTCAAAATCCAAACTGTCTACACATCTGGAAGAGGTATTTTCGGGAATAAAATATGTATAATTGTATATTTTCTTATTTTGGAATTGTCTAGTCCATCCCTCTGCTCAAGCAGCAGACCTTATACCAGTGATGGCGAACCTTTTAGAAATTGAGTGCCCAAACTGTAACCCAAAACCCACTTATGCATCTTTGGGTGCTGGGTGGGTGTTGCCCATTGGCTGGGTGTGGCCCATTGGCTGGGCGTGGCCCATTGGGTGGGTGTGGCTGTGGTAGTAATGGCAGACTGGGTGGGACTAAAAGCTTCAATCAATCAATTCTAACTTTGCAAGATTTTTTTTTTCTCATGAGAAGTTGAAATTGACTGATTGATTGAACCTTTTTTTTATTTTTGCACACAGCGGCGGAGGCCTAAAGCAAAAAGGTTTTATAAAACCCAGCTGAAGGCCTAGGACAGGGATGACAGTGCACAGGCACACAGAAAGGGCTCTAAGTGTTGCCTCTGTCACCTGTGCCATAGGTTCGCCACCACTGCGTTATACCATTCCAGACAAATGATTGTACAGTCTGTTCTTAGAAAAGGAGGAGGGGGGGAGGGGGAGGATGAGGAGGATAAAAGAGTTGGAAGGGACCTTGTAAATCTTGTACTCCAACCCCCCATTCAAGGAGGAGACCGTATTCCATTTCATACAAAGGTTGTCAAATCACTTCGTAAAAATCTCCAGCATTGGAACATCCACAACCTCTGGAGGCAAGTTGTTCCATTGATTAATTGTTCTCGCTGTCAGGAAATTTCTCCTTACACTCACCAAAAAGCTGAGAATGTTAATAAAATAATGTATCATTGATGATTGGCACCAGAAAAAAATGTCTGCATATTTTAAATCTTTGCTGGAAATGAACCATTTTCTTAGGATTGGAATGTTAATTACAAAATGCACATAGAAGTGATGCTCACACAAATGTATTAGTCAATGCCCTGAGGGGCTCTTTTATCCCAACAGATATGTAAATCAAGACACCATTTCCCCTTTAAAGGAGCCCCATAGTTTTCCTTTTCAGACAACTCCCACCAACATAAACCTTGTGCTATTTCCAGAATCCTCTCTTGACAATTCCCTCCACTCATTAGAGTGAGCAAAATGTGGCAAAACATTCTCTTCATACTACTAGTCCTCAAAGGTAATTATTTCCCCCATATAGTTCCATGCTCTTCTCCTGTACGCAGGTGATCTCATTTAAAAATAATAATAATCTTTTCTTCTTAGGAGTGCAGTCTCAAGGACAGTTGGTGGAATCTGGAGGGGATGTGAGAAGACCTGGAGAGTCCCTCCATCTCTCCTGCCAAGGTTCTGGATACAACTTTGGTGGCTACAGCATGAGCTGGGTGAGGCAGCCTCCAGGGAAAGGACTGGAATGGGTTGCACACATCTATCATGATTCTAGTGGAAAGTTCTACTCAGACAAAGTGAAGGGCTGCTTCACCATCTCCAGAGACAATGCCAAAAGCCAGCTGTATCTGCAAATGAACAGCCTCAAAGCTGAAGACACGGCAGTCTATTACTGTGCGAGAGACACAGTGAGAGGAAGTGAATCTGAAGCCAGACAAGAACCTTCCTTTCTTCAGAGCAGCTCTTCAAGTTGACTGGATTAGTCAATGAGGATTGATCTTTGTCTAGAGAGAACTTCAGAATATTTTATTCTGGGTATCAGAGAGTTTGCTGTAAGAAAATATAGGATGATGAAAATGGCTTAAAAATTCCCATTTCATCTTCCCTGTTTACAAGGTGATCTATCTTGAGGGAAAAAAATACAAGGAATTTAATATTGTCCTTTAATATCACAGCAGAAGTCTGGGAATTAGTGTCATGGTGAACCTCCTAAATATCCAAACTGCCATTCACATAAAGAGGAAACACCTGCACTAAAAAAAAAAAAAAATCCTTGGAGAATTAGGAATATGCTTCCCCTCCTCATTTTTGACACTGGGGGGCAATGTTGCTACATGAAATCCCATTGTGTGTGCAGGGGTGAGCTAAGGTGTAAAAAAACCTGTAATTAGATATTTTGGAGGCCAGTTACTTTTTTATTTTATTTCTGTAATAATTCTCTGAAAATATCTCAAGAAAATTTCATGTCTCAGGATGGTACAGTGTGCACTGCGAAGCTGAGAATTTTCATCAAATAATATATTGTTGGTTTTGTCACCAGAGAAACTGTTTAAACATTTCAAACCCTTGCTGAAAATGAAAACAAAATGAAATGGATTATATTATCACATTCATTGAACATTTAAACAGTTAAAACATTATGGAGGTGAATACATACACCAACCCAGAAAATTTTACAGTTTCTCTTAATGGATCTCAAAATAATTTAATTTCTCAAGGCACTAAAATCCTAGCTGGGAAGCCCTATCTGGCTTTATGACAGAAAACCTAGAGCAAACAAAATGTTTTGGATAATACGAAGATAATTATTTATCATTTTGTTTCAAATAAGAGGGTGTATTTGGTCACAATGTGACTTAAATTTGATTTGGTGAGTTGAGTGGCCCAACTATTCTAATAACACAATGTTCCTTGAAATTTAGCTGCCATTTATTTTTCATAAAACAAAGGGAAGGTAAGGAGGCTGTCTTGTAGTCTGATGTGCTAGCCTTTTTATATGTTCTCTAATAAGTAAATTAGTTTCACCTCTATTACCTTGAATCATTTTGAGAAGGGCTGAAATTTTTCTTTTCCTTTATGTTCGTTAATGTGCAGCAATCCTATTAACTCACCCCCCCCCAAAAAAAATGTTCCCAACCATTTTCTTAGGACTGGAATGTTAATTACAAAACACACAAGGAAATGATATTTACAGAAGTGTGCTTGTCAATGCGCTGAGGGCCTCTTTTATCCCAACAGATATGTAAATCGAGGAACAATTTCCCCTTTAAAGGAGTCCCATGGTTTCCCTTTTAATACAACACCCAGAAGCATAAACCTTGTAATATTTCCCAAATCTTCTTCAATCGCTTCCCTCCATTCATTAGAGTAATCAAAAATGTTACTAAACCTTGTGTCCTTACTAGTAGTCCTCAAAGGTAATGATTTCCACTATATGATTTATTTCTAAATTCTGTTCTTAGATGCAGGAGATCTCATTAAAAAATATTCCTTTTAGGAGTCCAGTCTCAAGTGCAGTTGGTGGAGTCTGGAGGAGATGTGCGAAGACCTGGAGAATCCCTCCGTCTCTCCTGCCAAGGATCTGGATTCACCTTCAGTGGCTATTGGATGGGCTGGGTGAGACAGGCTCCAGGGAAAGGACTGGAATGGGTTGCAAGCATGGCTACATCTAGCACTTACTACTCAGACAAAGTGAAGGGCCGCTTCACCATCTCCAGAGACGATGCCAAAAGCCAGCTGTATCTGCAAATGAGCAGCCTCAAAGCTGAAGACAAGGCTGTCTATTACTGTGCGAGAGGCACAGTGAGAGGAAGTGAATCTCAAGCCAGGCAAGAACCTTCCTTTCTTCAGAGCAGCTCTTCAATTTGACTAGATTAGTCAATGAGGATTGATCTCTGGCTAGAGAGAACTTCAGAGATAGCTACCCATTAGCACCATTAGCTACCCATTAACACCCAAAGGAAACACTTGAGACATCAGAATTAGTCCAAACCCTGTAATAAGTGGGGAATCTCCTTTGGAAAAAGAAATTTTACAATTAAATATTACAAAGGAAACCCAGACCAATAAATCTGCCAACACAGATGTAGATGCACCCAGGAAGGATGGGGTACACCTCAGGAAAAGAACCATTTAAGGGATAAGCCAAACCAAATTTTAAAATTCAAAGAAAAGTTTTTTTTTTTTTCCCTGTCTCTCATTCTTCCTTCCCCGCCCTGAACAATTCTGGGCAAACTGCAAACTAAAAGAAACAGGTGTCTTAGAAAACAATTAAACCCATCAACCTCACTAGGTAGAACTTTTGTAACACTAACAAGAAAGATATAAACCATACAGAGAAACACATTTACATGAACAAAGAAATACTCATACATACATACATACATACATACATACATACATACATACATATACACACATTGGTGGATTGTTGGTTTTGGTCTCCAGAGAAACTGTCTAGGTATTTCAAATCTTTGTTGGAAATAAAAACAAAATGAAGGGATTATATTATCATATTCAGTTAACATATTAAACAGTTTTGGAGGCCAGGTATTTTTATTATTATTATTTCCTTAATAAATCATTAAAACATTCTGAAGAAAATTGTAAGGTTACTCAGTGTGAAACTGAGAAATTTCATAAAAAGATAGATTTTGCCTTTAAAGTCACCAGAAAAACTTATCTAGTTATTTCAAATCTTTGCCTGGAAATGGAAACAAAGTGAAAGGATCACATTATCATATTCACTGAACATATAAAACAGTTAAAAAAATACAGATATTAATACATACAACAATCTAGAAGATTTTAAAGTTTCTTTCAATGGATCTGAAAAGAATTTAATTTCTCAAGACACCAAAATCCTTACTGGAAAGCCCCATCTGATTTTGTGACAGATAATCTAAAGCAAAGAAAATGCATATATTTTGGATAATACAAAGATAATTATTTATCATTCTTTTTCAAATAATGGGTCACAATATGATTTAAGTTTGACTTTGTGAGTTGAGCTAACTAGTCTAGCTGAAACAGCATTCCTTGCAGTTGAGCTGCCATTTAATGTATTTGGGATTTTTCCATAAAATAAACAAATAAGAGAGTTCATATGGTGTATTTTTCAGGCTTTTCTTTTATTTAATACACAATAAATTTGCCCTTCCACCTATTAATTCACAGAAAAATAAATGGCTCCCAATCCTTTTCTTAGGCGTGCAATGTTAATTACAAAATGCACATGCAAGTGATGTTCACAGAAGTGTGTTTGTCAAGGGCTCTTTTATCCCAACAGATATGTAAATTGAGGCACCATTTCCCCTTTAAAGGAGCCCCATGGTTTCCCTCTTCAGACTACACCCAGAATCATAAACCTTGTGATATTTCCTTAATCTCCTATCACTTCCCCCCATTCATTAGAGCAATCAAAAATGTTACTAAACCTTGTGTCCTTACTAGTAGTCCTCAAAGGTAATGATTTCCACTATATGTTTTATTTCCAAATTCTGCTCTTAGATGCAGGAGATCTCATTAAAAAATATTCCTTTTAGGAATCCAGTCTCAAGTCCTATTGGTGGAATCTGGAGGGGATGTGAGAAGACCTGGAGGGTCCCTCCGTCTCTCCTGCCAAGGTTCTGGATTCACCTTCAGCAGCTATTGGATGCACTGGGTGAGACAGGCTCCAGGAAAAGGCCTGGAATGGGTGGCATTCATAAACACCGATTCTGGTACTATTTGATACTCAGACAAAGTGAAGGGTCGCTTTACCATCTCCAGGGACAATGCCAAAAGCCAGCTGTATCTGCAAATGAACAGCCTCAAAGCTGAAGACACAGCAGTCTATTACTGTGCGAGACACACAGTGAGAGGAAGTGAATCTGAAGCCAAACAAGAACCTTCTTTTCTTCAGAGAAGCTCTTCAACTTGACTAGATTAGTCATTGATGATTGATCTCTGTCTAGGGAGAACTTCAGAATGTTTTATTCTGGGTATCAGCGAGTTTGCTGTAAGAAAATATAGGGTGATGAAAATGGCTTGAAAGTCTGTTTCATCTTCCCTGTTTACCAGGTGATTTATGTTCTGGAAAAAAAGATGGAATGGAATATTGTTCTTTAATATCATTGCAGACATAAGACAGACATAAACCATATAGAGAAACACATTTGCATGAACAAAGAAAATTTCACATCTCAGTGGGCTACAGTCTTCACTGTGAAACTGATTTTATATATATATATATAGGTCTTTGGTTATTCAGGTTTTCTCCAGCGTAAAATTGGAAGTTTCTGGGCAACATTTCGACAAAGTCCCATTTGTCATCTTCAGGACTTCATCGAAACATCGCCAAGACACTTCCAATTTTGTACGGGAGAAAATCCGAATAACCAAAGACCTGCAAACAAACACCCGCAAAAATCTCAGAAAACAAATATATATAATGGTGGATTGTTGGTTTTGGTCGCCAGACAAACTGTCTAGGTTTTTCAAATCTTTGTTGGAAATAAAAACAAAATGAAGGAATTGTATTATCATATTTAGTGAACATATAAAACAGTTTTGGAGACCGGATATTTTTATTTTATTCTATTTCTGTAATAATTCCTTGAAACATGCTGAAGAAAATTGTAGGAGTACTCAGTGTGTAACTGAGAAATTTTATTAAAAGATTTTGCATTTAAGCCATCAGAAAAAAAATTACCTAGGTATTTCAAACCTTGGACTGGAAGTGGAAACAAAGTGAAAGGATCATATTATCATATTTACTTATCATATAAAACAGTTAAAAAACTACAGATACTAATACATTTTGTGTATTTTTCAGGTTTTTCTTTTATTTAATACACAATAAATTTGCCCTTCCACCTGTTAATTCACAGAAAAATAAATGGCTCCCAATCCTTTTCTTAGGGGTGCAATGTTAATTACAAAATGCACATGCAAGTGATGTTCACAGAAGTGTGTTTGTCAAGGGCTCTGTTATCCCAACAGATATGTAAATCGAGGCACCATTTCCCCTTTAAAGGAGCCCCATGGTTTCCCTCTTCAGACAACACCCAGGAACATAAACCTTGTGCAATTTTCTCTCTTGTCTCTTGTCAATTCCCTCCATTCATTCAGTGAAAATGTGGCTCAACCTTGTGTCCTTACTAGTAGTCCTCAAAGGTAATTATTTCCCCCACATACAGTTTATTTCCATGTTCTGCTCCTCTAAGCAGGAGATCTCATTTAAAAAAATATATATTTTCTTTTTAGGAGTCCAGTTTCAAGTCCAGTTGGTGGAGTCTGGAGGGGATGTGAGAAGACCTGGAGGGTCCCTCCATCTCTCCTGCCAAGCCTCTGGATTTGATTTCAGCAGATATGGCATGGGCTGGGTTAGACATTCTCCAGGGAAAGGCCTGGAATGGGTGGCATTCATAAGCAATGCTGCTGCTACTATTCGCTACTCAGACAAAGTGAAGGGTCACTTCACCATCTCCAGGGACAATGCCAAAAGCTAGATGTATCTGCAAATGAACAGCCTCAAAGCTGAAGACACAGCAGTCTATTACTGTATGAGACACACAGTGAGAGGAAGTGAATCTGGAGCTTGGAAAAAACCTTCCTTTCTTCAGAGCAGCTCTTCAATTTGACTAGATTAGTCAATGAGGATTGATCTCTGTCTAGAGAGAACTTCAGAATGTTTTATTCTGGGCATCAGAGAGTTTGCTGTAAGAAAATATAGGATGATGAAAATGGCTTGAAAGTCTGTTTCATCTTCCCTGTTTACAAGGTGATTTATGTTCTGGAAAAAAAGATCGAATGGAATATTGTTCTTTAATATCATGGCAGAAGCCTGGAAATGAAACCTCAGGGTGAACCTTCTAAATATCCAAACTACGATTCTCAAATTGAGGAAACACCTAATTCTCCTTGGAGAATTAGGAACATGCCCCCCTCCTCATTTATGACACTAGGGGCAATGTTGTAACATATAATCCCACTGTGGATGCATGTGGTGGGGTCAGAGATAACTACCCATGAGCACCCAAAGGAAACACTTGAGGCATCAGAATTAGTCCAAAACCTGAAAGAAGTGGGCAATTTCCTTTCAAAAAAGAAATTTTGCAATTAAATATTACAAAGGAAACCCAGACCCATAAACCTGGCATCACAGATGTAGATGCACCCAGGAAGGATGGGGGACACCTCAGGAAAAGAACCATTTAAGGGATAAGCCAAACCAAACTTTAAAGTCGAAAGAAAAGTTTTTTTTTTTTTTTTTCCCTGTCTCTCATTCTTCCTTCCCTATCGTGACCAATTCTGGGCAAACTGTCAAACTAAAAGAAACACGTGTCTTAGAAAACAATTAAACCCATCAACCTCACTAGGTAAAACTTTTGTAACACTAACAAGACAGACATAAACCATATAGAGAAACACATTTACGTGAACAAAGAAATATTTCCCAAGGACAATATTAATCGCTACTGGTCCATGCAGACACAAACTAGATTGAATTAAATGAACATTTTTTTTAAAAAAAAGCCAAATCATAATCTCAATAACTTGAGAGGTATAAGAAGAGAACCCCTCACCTTGGGAAACTACTAGCTAGTCCAGAAACCATCCCTGTACCATTACTCCATCTGGTTTCTGTAAATAAATCTACTTTCTGGCAGCTTTTTTTATTCTGTATCATTTCTTCCGCCTCAGCTGAAGGTCTGCTTCCCAGCTGGAGACCAGAATCACAGGAAATCTTCCCACAATTCATAAAACAAATGTCATTAGATATTGTCTCATTCTGGAGGACTGATAATTATTATTTTTTTAAAAAAATATTTTTGTATTAATTCACTGAAAAGTTCTCAAGAAAATTTCCCATCTCAGTGGGCTACAGTCTTCACAGTGAGCCTGATATATATATGTAGGTCTTTGGTTATTCGGGTATTCTCCTGCATAAAATTGGAAGTTTCTTGGCGACGTTTCAACGAAGTCCCATTCGTCATCTGCAGGACCATCGAAACGTTGCCAAGACACTTCCAATTTTGCATAGGAGAAAATCCAAATAACCAAAGACCTACATACAAACACCCACAAAAATCTCAGAAAACAAATATATATAATGGTGGGTTGTTGGTTTTGGTCGCCAGAGAAACTGTCTAGGTCTTTCAAATCTTTGTTGGAAATAAAAAAAAAATGAAGGAATCATATTATCATATTTAGAGAACATATAAAACAGTTTTGGAGATCGGATATTTTTATTTTATTCTATTTCTGTAATAATTCCTTGAAACATGCTCAAGAAAATTGTAGGAGTACTCAGTGTGTAACTGAGAAATTTTATTAAAAGATTTTGCATTTAAGCCACCAGAAAAAAATTTACCTAGCTATTTCAAACCTTGGACTGGAAGTGGAAACAAAGTGAAAGGATCATATTATCATATTTAGTTATCATATAAAAGAGTTAAAAAAACTACAGATACTAATACATTTTGTGTATTTTTCAGGTTTTTCTTTTATTTAATACACAATAAATTTGCCCTTCCACCTGTTAATTCACAGAAATATAAATGGCTCCCAATCCTTTTCTTAGGGGTGCAATGTTAATTACAAAATGCACATGCAAGTGATGTTCACAGAAGTGTATTTGTCAAGGGGTCTTTTATCCCAACAGATATGTAAATCGAGTCACCATTTCCCTTTAAAGGAGCCCCATGGTTTCCCTCTTCAGACAACACCCAGGAACGTAAACCTTGTGCAATTTTCTCTCTTGTCTCTTGTCAATTCCCTCCATTCATTCAGTGAAAATGTGGCTCAACCTTGTGTCCTTACTAGTAGTCCTCAAAGGTAATTATTTCCCCCACATACAGTTTATTTCCATGTTCTGCTCCTCTAAGCAGGAGATCTCATTTAAAAAATATATATATTTTCTTTTTAGGAGTCCATTCTCAAGTCCTGTTGGTGGAGTCTGGAGGGGATGTGAGAAGACCTGGAGGGTCCCTCCGTCTCTCCTGTCAAGCCTCTGGATTTGATTTCAGCAGCTATGACATGAACTGGGTGAGACAGGCTCCAGGAAAAGGCCTGGAATGGGTGGCATACATAAGCAATGCTGCTGCTACTATTCGCTACTCAGACAAAGTGAAGGGTCGCTTCACCATCTCCAAGGACAATGCCAAAAGCCAGCTGTATCTGCAGATGAACAGCCTCAAAGCTGAAGACACGGCAATCTATTACTGTACGAGACACACAGTGAGAGGAAGTGAATCTGGAGCTTGGAAAAAACCTTCCTTTCTTCAGAGCAGCTCTTCAATTTGACTGGATTAGTCAATGGGGATTGATCTCTGTGTAGAGAGAACTTCAGAATGTTTTATTCTGGGCATCAGAGAGTTTGCTGTAAAAAATATAGGATGATGAAAATGGCTTGAAAATCTGTTTCATCTTCCCTGTTTACAAGGTGATTTATGTTCTGGAAAAAAGATCGAATGGAATATTGTTCTTTAATATCATGGCAGAAGCCTGGAAATGAAACCTCAGGGTGAACCTTCTAAATATTCAAACTGCCATTCTCAAATTGAGGAAACACCTAATTCTCCTTGGAGAATTAGGAACATGCTCCCCCTCCTCATTTATGACACTAGGGGGCAATGTTGTATCATAAAATCCCACTGTGGATGCATGTGGTGGGGTCAGAGATAGCTATCCATGAGCACCCAAAGGAAACACTTGAGGCATCAGAATAAGTCCAAACCCTGAAACTAGTGGGCAATTTCCTTTCGAAAAAGAAATTTTACAATTAAATATTACAAAGGAAACCCAGACCCATAAACCTGGCATCACAGATGTAGATGCACCCAGGAAGGATTTATTTATTTATTTATTTTATTTTATTTATATGACGCCCAATCCCAAAGGACTCAGGATGGGGTACACCTCAGGAAAAGAACCATTTAAGGGATAAGCCAAACCAAACTTTAAAGTCAAAAGAAAAAGTTTTTTTTACCCCTGTCTCTCATTCTTCCTTCCCCGCCATGAGCAATTCTGGGCAAACTGTCAAACTAAAAGAAACACGTGTCTTAGAAAACAATTAAACCCATCAACCTCACTAGGTAGAACTTTTGTAACACTAACAAGACAGACATAAACCATATAGAGAAACACATTTACATGAACAAAGAAATACCACCCAAGGACAATATTAATCGCTACCGGTGCAAACAGACACAAACTAGATGGAATTAAATGAATTTTTTTTTTTTCAAAAGCCAAATCATAATCTCAATAACTTGCGAGGTATAAGAACAGGACTCCTCACCTTGGGAAACTACTAGCTAGTCCAGAAACCATCACTGTACCATTACTCCATCTGGTTTCTGTAAATAAATCTACTTTCTGGCAGCTTTTTTTATTCTGTATCATTTCTTCTGCCTGAGCTGAAGGTCTGCTTCCCAGCTGGAGACCCGAATCACGGGAAATCTTCCCACAATTCATAAAAAAATATAATTAGATATTATCTCATTCTATAGGACTGATAATTATTATTTTTAAAAAATATATTTTTGTATTAAATCACTGAAAAGTTCTCAAGAAAATTTCCCATCTCAGTGGGCTACAGTCTTCACAGTGAGCCTGATATATATATATATATATATATATATATATATATATATATATATATGTCTTTGGTTATTCGGGTTTTCTCCAGCGTAAAATTGGAAGTTTCTTGGCGACGTTTCAACGAAGTCCCATTCGTCATCTGCAGGACCATCGAAACGTCGCCAAGACATTTCCAGTTTGACGCTGGAGAAAATCCGAATAACCAAAGACCTACATACAAACACCCGCAAAAATCTCAGAAAACAAATATATATATATAATGGTGGATTGTTGATTTTGGTCACCAGAGAAACTGTCTAGGTCTTTCAAATCTTTGTTGGAAATAAAATCGAAATGAAGGAATCGTATTATCATGTTTAGTGAACATATAAAACAGTTTTGGAGACTGGATATTTTTATTTTATTCTATTTCTGTAATAATTCCTTCAAACACGCTCAAGAAAATTGTAGGAGTACTCAATGTGTAACTGAGAAATTGTATTAAATTTGCATTTAAGCCACTAGAAAAAACTTATCTAGGTATTTCAAACCTTGGACTGGAAGTGGAAACAAAGTGAAAGGATTATATTATCATATTTAGTTATTATATAAAACAGTCAAAAAAAACTACAGATACTAATACATTTTGTGTATTTTTCAGGTTTTTCTTTTATTTAATACACAATAAATTTGCCCTTCCACCTGTTAATTCACAGAAATATAAATGGCTCCCAATCCTTTTCTTAGGGGTGCAATGTTAATTACAAAATGCACATGCAAGTGATGTTCACAGAAGTGTGTTTGTCAAAGGCTCTTTTATCCCAACAGATATGTAAATTGAGGCAACATTTCCCCTTTAAAGGAGCCCCATGGTTTCCCTCTTCAGACAACACCCTGGAACACAAACCTTGTGCAATTTTCTCTCTTGTCTCTTGTCAATTCCCTCCATTCATTCAGTGAAAATGTGGCTCAACCTTGTGTCCTTTCTAGTAGTCCTCAAAGGTAATTATTTCCCCCACATACAGTTTATTTCCATGTTCTACTCCTCTAAGCAGGAGATCTCATTTAAAAAAAAATATTTTCTCTTTAGGAGTCCATTCTCAAGTCCAATCTCAGTTGGTGGAGTCTGGAGGGGACGTGAGAAGACCTGGAGGGTCCCTCCATCTCTCCTGCCAAGCCTCTGGATTTGATTTCAGCAGCTATTACATGAGCTGGGTGAGACAGGCTCCAGGGAAAGGACTGGAATGGGTGGCATACATAGGCTATGCTTCTGGTACGATTCGCTACTCAGACAAAGTGAAGGGCCGCTTCACCATCTCCAGAGACAATGCCAAAAGCCAGATGTATCTGCAGATGAACAGCCTCAAAGCTGAAGACACGGCGGTCTATTACTGTGCGGGAGACACAGTGAGAGGAGGTGAATCTGAAGCCAATCAAAAACTTCTCACAAGAGCAATTTTCCAAATTGTGTCAATTATACAGTAGATGGTTGAGTTTGTCTAATTGAAATGAGAAGCAGTGAGTAAATCTTCATGATACTAGGTAGAAGCTGAGAACTGATCTTGGAGTAAGTAGTGTGCCACCTGGGAAAAAAAAGGAAGTATCTGGATAGTAGAATTAACTGGTTAGTTTATAAAAAAGTTTAATTTGAGGTAGTAATATGGAATTATATCCTACAGGTCTTTCTTGATATATTTTGCAGTTCAGGCACCTTTGATTCTTAGTACTGCCAACGCTCCTGAGTTTAGCTACTTTCCAAATGTTGTTCCTTTTTTCATTCCTTGTGCATTGATGTACATTCAATGCCCTTAATCAGTTGGGCTGAATCAAGGGTAGGAAACGTTGGTAATTTCTAACCTCCCCTTTTGAGATAAAATATTTTGGACTGTATTCCTGTCTTGGTGTAGTTGCTTGGTAGTTTCTTCTACAATCCCACTAACCTCTGGGGGGTGAGTAAAATTGGAATCCCTCATCTACCTTGTTTAATAAGGAATTTAATGTGGAAAACAAATATGGTGCCTTCATCCTGTGCACCTGTAGTTTTTTCATGTGTTTAAGGAAAATCAATCCCATAATGTCCAGATCACAGAGCTATATACTTACTGAAGCGTAAATGCTTTCATTGACCTCTTAACATCTAGAAGATTTTAAAGGATGAAGAATCATTGAAAGCAGAGACAGACTAATGGACAGTGGAAAAGAAAAGAAAAGAGAAAGAAAACAACGAAACGAAACAAAAGAGAACAAAAGAAAAAAGAAAAGAAAAGATCCCGGATCTTTGTTTTTATATGCAATAACTGCAGGGCAACTACAACCAATTCAAAAATGGAAAAATTCAGCACGGACTACAATGGAAGATTGACTGGGAAGATGATGGAAGTTGCAGAGTTGGCTAACAAGCTTATTTGTTTAGGAAAAAGAAAATATATATTCATTGTTGATTGGAAACTATGTTTCTATAAACATTTTTCATAAAACAGAAAAAAATGCACTCATGATGATTTCAGAATCATGATGTGATTCTGAAATTAGAAAAAAATGGATAATAGAGAAAGGTGAACTCTTTTGTAATTATAAAGTATGAGTCACTATGAACATGTACTTATAATTGTGGCAGAAAAAAAGTTTTCAATTTCTTCTGAATCTCCTTCTGCACTCTCTTCTCTTCTCTTCTCTTCTCTTCTCTTCTCTTCTCTTCTCTTCTCTTCTCTTCTCTTCTCTTCTCTTCTCTTCTCTTCTCTTCTCTTCCCTTCCCTTCCCTTCCCTTCCCCTCCACTCCACTCCACTCCACTCCATTCCATTCCATTCCAGTTCTCTCTCTCTCTCTCTCTTTTTTCTTGAAACCGAATCACCTTGTAAACAGGGAAGGGGAACTTTGAATGTTTCATTTTCTTACAGCAAAGTCTTTGATACCTAGAAAAGAACATACTGAAGGTCTCCCTAGACAGCGACCTCTTTCTCTCTCTCTGTGTTTCTGTAATGTGCCATGAAAATCATGCTTGTAATGTGTGTGCAGAGAAATTTATAGGTGAATGCCCTGTGGGGCTCTTTTATCTGGAACAATATGTAAATCAGGGCACAATTTCTCCTTTAAAGTAGCCAGGTGGTTTCCCTTAACACAAAGTTTGAGCTCTTTCCTCAGTCTTTTACTGTCTATTCCCCTCCATTCATTAGAAAGAGCAAAAATGACTCCGTGGCCAAAATTGGTCTTCTTACTAGCAGTCCTTCGAGGTAATGCTTCCCTCTCTAGAATTTCCTTTAATTTGCTGTTCTTATATACAGAGATGTCACTGAAATCCATTTCTTTCTAGGTGTCCAGTCACAGGCCCAGTTGGTGGAGTCTGGAGGGGATGTGAGAAGCCCTGGAGGGTCCCTCCATCTCTCCTGCCAAGCCTCTGGATTCACCTTCAGCAGCTATTACATGAGCTGGGGGAGACAGGCTCCAGGGAAAGGACTGGAATGGGTTTCACAGATATATCCAAGTTCATCTAGCATTTACTACTCAGACAAAGTTAAAGGACGTTTCACCACTTCGAGGGATGATGCCAAAAGCCAGCTGTACTTGCAAATGAACAATCTAAAAGCTGAAGACACGGCAGTCTATTACTGCTGGGACACAGTGAGAGGACGTGAATCCAATGCTAAACAAAAACCTTCCTTTCTTCAGAGCAGCTCTGCAACCTGATTCAGCCCAAGATCCTGGATTAGCTAATTAGGATTCACTACCAGATTCTTTTGTTCTGGTTATCCAGTAAGACACTTTGCAAGAGGAAAAGGAGATCTATGAACAACTAGAAGCAAACAAATTTATAACCAGTAGCCAGCATGGGTTTGTTAAAAACAGATCATGCCAAAACAATCTTATTTCATTGTTCGACAAAGTGACTAAACTAGTAGACCAGCGAAATACTGTGGACGTAGTATATTTAGATTTCAGTAAGGCATTTGATAAAGTAGACCACAACCTACTCCTTGATAAGCTAGGACAGTGGTTCTCAACCTTTTTAATGCTGCGACCCCCAACTGGTCGTAAGTCAAAGACTATTCAACCGGTCGTAAGTCGAGGACTACTCAACTGGTGCAGCACCGTTTGCAGAATGGGACTTTTGGTGGGCTCAGCAGGGCAGAGACAGCTTGGACAATTCCTATTGGCTTTTGAAAGCCAGTAGAATTAGACTCTATTCAAGAGAGTCTATTCTATTGGCTTTCAAAAGCCAATAGAATAAAAGGGAGTAGCACAGCTAAGGAAAGGGGGAAAAAATGGCGGACTGCATTGTTTGGCGACCCCCGTGAAATGGTCGTTCGACCCCAAATGGGGTCCCGACCCACAGGTTGAGAACCACTGAGCTAGGAAAAGGTGGAATAGACAACATCACCACCAGATGAATCTGACAAATCATACTGAATGAGTAGTCCTCGATGGCACTACATCTACATGGAGAGAACTAAGCAGTGGGGTACCACAAGGTTCTGTCTTAGGCTCAACACTCTTCAATATATCCATAAATGATTTAGATGAGGGAATTGAAGGGGAACTTTGCAGATGACACCAAACTGACAGGAATAGCCAACACCCCAGAAGAAAAACTTAGGATCTGAAAAGAACTTCACAAACTTGAACAATGGGCCCTATCCAACAAAATGAGTTACAGTGTAGAGAAAAGCAAAGTTTTACATTTAGGCAGAAAAAAAAATCAAATGTACAAGTATAGATTGGGTGAGACCTGGCTCAAAACAGTAACTGTGAGAGGGACCTTGGAGTCCTAGTGGATGATCACTTGACTATGGGTCAGCAGTGTGCAGCAGCAACTAAAAAAGCTAACACAATCCTGGGTTGTATAAACAGAGGCAAAGAACCAAGATCACACAAAGTATTAGTACCGCTTTATAAAACCCTTGTAAGACCACACCCGGAGTACTGCAGCCAATTTTGGTCACCATATCATAAAAAAGATGCTGAGAAATTGGAAAAATATTCAGAGAAGAGCAACTAAGATGATCAAAAGCCTGGAGACTAAAACATACAAAGAATAACTATGGGACTTGGGTTTGGCTAGTCTGAAGAAAAAAAGAAATAGGGGAGACTAGACAGCAATATTCCAGTATTTGAGGGGCTGCCACAAAGAAGAGGAGGTCCCATTATTCTCCAAAGCATCAGAGGAAAGGACAAGAAACAATGGTTGGAAACTGACCAAGAGAGAAGCAACTGGAATTAAGAAGAAACTTCCTGACAGTGAGGACAATTAGCCAGTAGAATAGCTTGCCTCTACAAATTGTGGGCACTCCATCACTGGAGATTTTTAAGAAGAGACTAGACAGTCACCTGTTTGAGATGGTATAGGTTCTCCTGCTTCAGCAGGGAGCTAGACTAGATGACCTCCAAGTTTTCAATTTCTTCTGAATCTCCTTCTGCGCTTATTCTATTCTATTCTATTCTATTCTATTCTATTCTATTCTATTCTATTCTATTCTATTCTAGTCTAGTCTAGTCTAGTCTAGTCTATTCTAGTCTAGTCTAGTCTAGTCTAGTCTAGTCTAGTCTAGTCTAGTCTATTCCATTCCATTCCATTCCACTCCACTCCGGTCCACTCCACTAACTATTCTATTCTATTCTATTCTATTCTATTCTATTCTATTCTATTCTATTCTATTCTATTCGTAATTAAGAAAAATGGCTTCAAAATTCCAGTTTTACCTTCCGTGTTGGCAAGGTGATCTGACTTCTGAGAGAAAAAAAATGTAACATTTTTCCTTTAGTATCGTGGCAGAAATCTGAAAATGAAACTTCAAAATAATCTTTCTAAATATCCAAACTGCCATTTACATAATGAGGAAACATCTGGACCCAAAGAATCTCCTCAGAGAATTGGTAAGATGTGCCCTCTCCTCAGTTTTGACACTGGAGGGCAATGTTGACACACAAAACCCCACGGCCTATGGATGAGGGTGGAGTAGGGAATAAGTCAATTCTAAACAGATATTGTCTAATTTTGGAAGAGTGATAACTGGTTATTATTTCTGTAATTGTTCCCTGAAAATCTCTCAAGAAAATTCCACATCTCAGGAAGCTATAATCCTCCCTGTGAAGCAGTGAATTTTTATAAAAGGATGTGTATCATTTCTGGTTTTGTCATCAGAATAACTGTCAAGATAGTTCAAATCTTTGATGGAAATGAAAAAAAAAATGTAAAGGGATGTTTTACTAGGTTTGGTGAACATGCAAAAAAGCTTTAAAAAATGACAATAGATATGTACAATAATCCAGAAAATTTTGAGGATAAAACTATAATTGAAAGCAGAGAGTTTTCTCTTTGGACTAATACATAACCGACTAGAAAAAAACTAATAAAACTTTGCTTTTATACATGATAACTGCAGGGAGACTAATACATGCTCACAAATGGAAAGACTCAACACCACCCACAATGGAGTGATAGAAAGTGAAGATGATGGAATCTTCACACTAAAATAAAATTCTGTGTTAGAAAATTCTTTATAAACTTTGCATGAAACAGAAAAAACATACAGTCATGATTTGTGGTTTTGATGATTAGAAAAAAAATGGATAATAGAAAAAACATGAGCTCTTTTTTGTAATCACAGTTAATATTATAAATGTGCTTATATTTGCTGTAGAAGAAATATCAAAATTCTTTTTTTCTGTTTCTTTTCAGTCTCATTCTGAACTCTAAAGTTTCCCTCCCTCCCTCCCACCCTCCCTCCCTCCTTCCTTCCTTCCTTCCTTCCTTCCTTCCTTTCTCCCTCCCTCCCTCCCTCCCTCCCTCCCTCCTCCTCTCTCCATCCATCCATCCAACCATCCATCCATCCATCCATCCCTCCATCCATCCATCCTTTCAAAGATTGGTTTATTATATTATAGTCTATACTATGCGTTTCTGGTAACATTTTTAATTACAGTTGTTATTATCATTATTATTGTAACAGTTATTATTTCATTTTTTATGGCTGTACATTTTGGCGAATCAACTCTGGGCAAGTAACAGGTGATAAAAACACTGCACAAAGTAGCATCTAAAACAAAAAAAAGATCTTGGTCTGCATTCAGTTCTTTTAGGTTTCTTCAAAAGGTCATTTTAAAGGGAAAAATGTATAAAACCTTTCTTGAGCTTAGATGTGCTGCTGTTTTCATGTTTTCTAACATGCCTCTTTCAAATGTCCTTAGTTC